CAATCACAGACTTTTCTAAGCCCTGATGTGGCTTCAGCATCCTTCTCAAACCTGTGTTCCAAGAAGCCAGTGAGCTGAAACCTATCTGCCCTCCTTGACCTAGTTAATATTGATTGTTTGTTTTGTTTTGTTTTGTTTTTGAGATGGAGTCGTCCCCCAGGCTGGAGTGCAATGGCATGATCTCAGCTCACTGCAACCTCTGCCTCCGGGGTTCAAGCAATTCTCCTGCCTCAGCCGCCCGAGTAGCTGGGACTACAGGTACCCACCACTAAGTCTGGCTAATTTTTTTGTATCTTCAGTAGAGACAGGGTTTCACTACTTTGGCCAAGCTGGTCTCGAACTCCTGGCCTCAAGTGACCCACCAACCTCAGCCTCCCAAAATGCTGGGATTATAAACCCGGGCTTGACCTAGTTAATACTGAAAAGGAAATTACTTCAATCATAGAGAATGTTCCATATAAAACATGGCAGGTGACCTTTCTTTTCTTTTTTTTTTTTTTTTGAGACAGTGTCTTGCTCTGTCGCCCAGGCTGGAGTACAATGACGCACGATCTCAGCTCACTGCAACCTCCACCTCCCAGGCTCAAGCAATTCTCCTGCCTCCTTCCAAGTAGTTGGGATTGCAGGCACTCACTATGCCCAGCTAATTTTTGTATTTTTACTAGAGACTGGTTTCGCCACGTTGGTCAGGCTGGTCTCAAACTCCTGACCTCAGGTGATCCACCCACCTCGGCCTCCCATAGTGCTGAGATTACAGGTATGAGCCACCACACCCGGCCGTGGCCTTTCTTTAATTCCTTGAAATTTCCCCCATCCCTGCTTTCCAACACAGATTTTAAACTTCAAATTTAGGGGAAAAAAAGGTATGCATTGAAGGTAAGGTGGTACAACTGGCTAGGACTCAGGAATACACTTTCACATGTATTCCCAAAAGACTCTCTTTGGGTCTTCCAAGAAAGAAAGAGAGGTGGCCTGCAAGGGAGGCCAGTGGTAGGAAGTAAGTAGGCCCTTTTATCCCTATGAGACACTCACCCAAGCCTGCAAGCTGGGAGGAGAGGGAAGATGGGGGCGCTGTGTTCCCCACCATCGGGCTCACCACGGCTGGAGACCCTGGCCCCAGGTCTATTAAGTTGTCTTCAGTCACTTCGTTCAGTACCTGTCAGAATGTGAGATTGGTCATGAGCCCCAGAACCCTGGAGTCAGGCTCTGAGGTAGAAGCTAGCAAGGCAACTGTGCAGGGTTCTGAGAAGAAAAGCATCAGCACTGCTCCAGTACAGAAGCAAGGTCACTTTCCCCATCTGCCTTCCGGGTCCATGGTGGCCCTTGATGTCAGTGAGCCCTGCCCACTGCCTCCTCCCCCTCCCCAGTAGAAGGAGGGGTTGCTGAGTCAACAGTGACTGTCCTGGGAGCTACAGACTTAGAGCTTCCTTGCCACCCTCCCATCAGGGGTGCCTGCTAGCTCTGCCCTAGTATCCCATCAACCAAAGCTTGCTCTTCAATTTCCCAAATATTTCAACCCCAGTTAGAAAAACTGGAGGTCTCTCCAGCCTCCAAAACGTGGAGGGGTAGGTCTGGCCTCAGGAGATGAGAGGATTCTGAAGGAATACTTACTCCATTACTGGCATTTTGAACCGATCGGCCAGACCTGTATCGTTCGAACCTAACGGGGGAAGGGAAAGCAGAAGTAAGGAGAGAGGATGCCTGTGATATGGGCCTGTGGGGTGCTCACTAGTCCTATGAAGAACCTCTGGGACCAAGACCAGCCAGTCCTAGTTGGGGGCTAGGGAGTGAAACCATATATCAACTCTGCCACGGCTTCCTCTGTGTGTGTGGCTCCCCGAGAGGATCAGCCTCTCACCCAGCACCCTGAATGGGCATCAGAAAGGGGTGGTGGCTGGCCTATCATAGAGGTCATTGTGAGTGTCCCCAGCCTCTCCTCACATACCTGGGCCCAGAGAGCTCCTCTTGTCCCTGGAGGGAGGGTGGCTTAGCCACTTTACCTTGGAGCTCTCCAATGTTTACAATGCCAGGCAGTAGCTGCAGACTCCCTACTTCACAGGGCTGTGTTGAGAAGCGCCCAGCTAGTGTTCCTAACATGCTCCCAACTGAATCTCTGGGGAAAGGGGTTGGGGTATGCATAGGGTGGGCACCAGTAGGAGGAAGGTAGATGCATGGCCCTGACTGTGGCCTGGGGAAATGCTCGCCAGTAGCTGCTACAGAGAGGCCTGGGCCAATCATCGAAGGACTGCTAGAAGGGTGGAGTGAGTGTCTTCCGCACCCAATCGGGCAGTGCAGGGGGACTTGGCTTTGAGCAATTGTCGAAGGCCAGGTCATCCTTATGTCAGGTGGGGAATGGAAGAGTAGTAATGAGGTGTGTGTTGGGGTGGGGCAGAACAGATTATGTTCTGCATCATATTTAAAAACTCCAAATGCCACGGGCAGCGGTAGCTAAGAGACTTTCCAGCTGGAGCCTTAGACACCCAGCTTTAGTGAGTTATGCCGCTCCACTTCTGTCTCCCAACTTGCTGGGGTCAGCATCTGGTGACAAGGGATCCCCAGGAGGAATGATCTGGGTAGGCAGTGAGTGTCCACTGTGGTTTTAAAAAAGACTTGTGTGTTTTTTCAACAGTGGTCTACAAGGAGAACAGGAATATTAATACATCTGAAACAATTTTAATCCTGGGGTAACTTTCCCACACTCATCTTCAATGAACAATGACTATCATCAAAGACACTCTAACCAGGATAGCACTTCTAGACACCAGCCCTGGCTTTGCCTCTGAATTCTTTGTAATGCTGGGACTGGGGGACTGTTGGGTGAAAATACCCATATTAGTTAGCTCCTGTTATGCTTTCTAGCAGGGCTTAAATAGATTTAACAGGTTAAATGCAAGCCCATTTACCATGGAGAAACTGGAACCACATGGCAAGACAAAGGGGCTTCGGGCAGGGAGTCAAGTCCCCTCAGATCTGCTCCTGTTCTTCAACTGATGCACTGGGGGTCCCAGGGACCCCCCACACTTACTGCAGAGGTTTCTTCGCCTGTCAGGTGGGCACAGAGCCACTGGTGTGTACTTCCATAATCAAAAGATGAGACAAGGCCCAAGGCTGTGACGGCCACAACAAAACCACTCTTTAGGCCCCCAAAGGGTAATGCAAACGCAAGCATCTGTCCCTCTGACTCTAACTGACGCCAGATCCTTGTCCTCCTGATGAATCCAGCAGTAGGGTGTGAGTCAGCTGGTTGGCAGAGGGGACCAGGACCTCAGGTCTGCAGGGGACTCAAGCCACTGTCCTGTCCTCTCAAGCCTCATCTTTAAGGGGAAAAGGCTGGCCTGATCATGGTCCTTTCTGGTCCTTATGCTGAGTCCTTCGTGAAAGCCCAGTGTGCTCCCATCAGGTGATGAGATGGGAACTGTGCTTGCCATTATTCCTCCTATTTAAAACTAGGTCTAAATAAGACATTTTGGGCTTTGTCCTGAAGGAAGGCTTTGGAAATAAAAAAGAATTTGTAGGTTTGTTACCTCAAACCCAAAAATGATTTGGCTGCAGAAAGAACTGAAATGAATGTGTGCACGCTTCCCTAAGCAGCAGCATTCCGGCACTTACACCCGCCTGCTTCCCCTGAATGCTCTAGATAACACTGACATTTGCAAAGGGAAAAGCTTTTTTCCTTTCTTTCTTTTTTTTTTTTTTAAGATGGGAAAGAGGAAATCCTTTTTCTTAGTAGAGATTTTTTTTTCCCTTTAATCCTTTTCAAATTCAAAGGATCATCAAAGGAGCAGGTGCAGCAGCTCTGGGACCCAGAGCCCCCCAAGTGCTACCCCTCCCTGGGGCTGGGGGTGGCGGGGCAGTGGGGAAAGGCAGAGCAGCCTGAGGCTTACAAAGGGCAGAGCCTAATTCTGCACGTCAACTTCCTGCTGCTTCTGCTGCTCGGTTCCCAGGAGGACAAGAAGCATTTTCCCTGTCAGCCGGGAACAAATTAGCATCTCTGATGAGTATTTTCCAACTCTAATCTCTCTCCCTCTCCCTCTCTTTCCTTTGTTTATGAAAGAAATCCCTCTGTTATGGCAACAATCTTTTCAAGGGGAAAAAAAAAGAAAGAAATCCGGCTCCCACCTCTCATATCGAAGGAAGACATTGTTGAGGTCGTCGTTCACATGCAGCAGCTCCTCGGTGACCTCCTCGTTGGACACGCGGGAGATGAGCTCCACGATGCGCTGCTGCATGGCCCGGCAGGTCCTGTTCAGCTCCTAGGGAACACATGCACCTCTGGGTAGCCTGCTGGGTGTGCTTTTTGTCACATTCTATTTCCTTTGAAAAAATTTGTACTGATTCTTAAAAGTCACAAAAGGAGTACATGCTTGTTCATGAAACCAGACATGTGCCGAATTCAAAGTAGAAGTTCCCTCTTCACAGCCTGCCCATCCTTCCCCAGAGGAAGGAAGTACTTTTTCAGCAGACAAATGTCCAGACAGACATACTGTTGTATGTATACAAGTACATGCTTGTACAAATCATTAAAAAATATTAAAATGTGATTCTTTGCAGATTGCTTTTTCTCAACAAAATATTCCAGACACCGTTCCCCATCACTTGGTACAGACTGCCTCATTCCTTTGTGTGTTTCATAATGTATCTCGCCATTCTTCTATTGTTGGACATTTAGGTTGTGGTCTCTCTTTCTGTGGCCAACCCAAATAATGCAGCAATGAACACCTGTACACAAACATGCATATGCACTTGGGCTAGCACTTCCATAGGAGGAGTTCCTTAGGAGGGAAATTTCTAGGTGAAAGGGTATGGTCATTTATAACATCAATTAGTAATAGTAAAAGGCACTCCAGAAAGATGACATCGGTCTACTTACACTCCCAGCAATAGCAGGAGTGTATTTTATGACTGCATTAGGTATATTTTGGTGGCATGTCTGCCACTTTGCCGAGGCCTCAGAAGCCCAGGCAGCTCCCTGGCTGGCCAAAAGAGGACATTCGCACACCCTGGAGCCCTCTCTACCCTTAGAAGCAACATCCCCCTGATGACAGAGCCTTAGCACTTTATGGCCTGGCTTCCATGAACCTTCCCTGTTCCAGAACAGCAGACTTACTGATGCCCTTGTTCAAATTTGCTTATAGAGCTCCCTCAATTCCTGCCAGGCCCCTTGCCATCTTGATGCCAGACTGAGGATGCTACAGAGGAGGGAGCTGGCAACCCTGCCAGGCTGGCCCCCAAGCATCCCTGACTACAGGAACTGCCTGTGACCAAAGCGCCAAGTCCCAGTGTGCCATACAGGGTTAAAGCAGAGGGAGATGCTGTCCCCACCTACCTGGGCACTGGAGGGTGCCAGTGAGTTAAGAGGATAAGACATGAAAGATAAGTCCCTCGTTCTCACAGCTCAGTTTCAAAACAACTTCATTTTGAAACCGTTTCTGGTAGAAGTGACTGATTTATTCACAGGAGACATGGTAGTCTCTTTTTAGTTCCTCATATTGTCTCATAATCTGGCTAGCTTGGCTAAAGGGTCTTCCTTCCTACCACATCATAAACTCTTGAGGGGGTGTTGCCATTTATCCACTCAAGGATGCCCTCAAGCCCTGCACTGAGCCACACAGTGAAAAAGCCCAGTAATCATCTGCTGAACACATCACACAGGTGGTCAATCAAGCCAAGTGGGGAATCAAAGGCATCCCCCCGTATGTCCCTGGTGTCCTGCAACACAGCACTCACACAGGGGCTGGGCTTCTTATGTGCCTTCCCCTCTAGACTGAAGCTCCTTGAGGGCAGAGAAGGCATTTCCCTGGTACCCACGACTGACACATGGGAGGCACTCCCCAAGTACTTCTGAGAGAATTAATGACTCTAAAGTATTCAGAGGCTGGTGCGGTGGCTCATGCCTGTAATCCCAGCAGTTTGGGAGGCCGAGGGAGGCGGATCACTTGAGGTCAGGAGTTTGAGACTAGCCTGGCCAACATGGTAAAACCCCATCTCTATGAAAAAATACAAAAATTAGCTGGGCACAGTGGCGTGCACCTGTAATCCCAGCTATTCAGGAGGCTGAGGTGGGAGAATTGCTTGAACCCAGGAGGCAGAGGCTACAGTGAGCCGAGATTGCACCACTGCACTCCAGCCTGGGGAACAGAGTGAGATCCTGTCTCCAAAAAATAAAAATAAAAAATAAAGTATTCTGAACTCTTGTCCCCACAAACCACCAGCTCAGTTATCCACATACACTCAGTCTTCTCAGCACTCTTCACTCAGAGAATCGGGAATTTTTGTTCATCCAGGATCTAATTTTCCCTCTCTAGGACTCATTCCAGGCCCCACTGAACCAGCAGTAAGCACTTAAAAACATACAGATAAGTGCTAGAATTAATAAGAAGAGGTGAATACTGGATCTTAATTGCAGGGGACACTGCTATCTAGTAAAGAGAAAACTCCACAAAATGTCCACTCTCTTCTGTTGTGAATGGCTCCTGTCCCCAGGCCAGGCAGGAGAGGGGCTCTCAAGAAACTGCCTGGGCCTTGGGGCCTGCCAGATGTGGTCTGGATTGCCAGGCAATAATGGCCACAGGCGCCAATGGACACTCACAGGTCAAAACCCAGTCACAATTACTGTACACAGGAAAACCAACAATGCAGGGGAAACACTCATTACAGAATGAAGCATGCTCAGGAGTGATGCTGATAAAGCCAGGCCCTTAACATTAAAACAAACAAAAACAAAATAAAAATGTCCAAACTTATGAAAGAAGCAATCACATTAGATCATGTGAAGGATTCCAATAGCCAGGACAAGTGAACAATTAAAATAATCATAGTATTTCTAATAGATTGTTAAAACGCAGTGAGCATCTCTGTTCAGGGCTGACAGGGGAGCATAGATTTAGGTTAACTTTGACAGACCTTCTTCCCCTGCTTCCTAAAAGAAAAAAAGGATATGTGGCCAACACTTGGGCAGCATATTTACCCCGCACTTTGGAAGAAGTACCAGAGGAAGACCTAGCAAAAGTGTGCAGGATGAAAAAGAGAGGCTGGGCAGTAGGACAGAGAAAACAGGTCAAACAAACTTCTGCCTCTCTGCTCTGCCATGGACTGTTCCAGGCCACCGTACGGGTCTCCTCCCCAGGGATGCGGATGTGCCAACACACATGAGGACCAGGCCAGGCACTGCTGAGCTCCTCCTCGCTCTAGCACTCCAGGTGTCTGTGGAAAATCTCTGATGAGCAAAAGGAACTCAAGTCCTAGCTCAGGACCCACTCCCTCCTACAAACAGGCCCATTACAAGAAAGTATGGCCTCTGGGGCTTTTGGCCTAGCAGCAAGCCCTGGCTGTCCTTGGTTAGGGAGGGAGAAAGAAAAAAGTCAATCACATTCTCCAATCACAGCTGCAGGCCAATCACAAGGCACAGGACCTGCAAGCCAGGGGAGTGTGGGAGCATGTTGTGGGAAATAGATCCAAGTTACCCTCCAGAAGACTGGGGCATCAGCACCTAAGGCCCATAGGCCATCTTCAAACACACCTCAGACTTTCCAGGATATAGGTGGCCTCAGGCACTTTCCACATTGCTCAAGGGCTCCTGAGAAGTTGGCGATTTACCTACAATGTCCCTTATCTCCTTTTCCATCAAACAAACTCCTACTCATCCTTCAAGGCCTCAGGATGTTTCCCCACCTCAGGATTTTGTCACAAAAATTTTCAAACATACAGCAAAACAGGATGAATTTTACAGTGGACAGACACCATATGCCTGTCACCTAGATTGTATCATTAACATTTTACAGTGCCAGCTTTAACACATACTTCCCATTTATTCATCTTCCCGTTCACATACAGTGTTTTCTGGGGATCCCCCACCATCCCACCCTCCTCAAGACTCCCACAGCATTCAACACACTCCAGTCTGCCATCAGAGCCCCTCTAGAAAAACCTCCAGCAAGGGGTGACCAGCCCCCATCTGCACTCCACACAGCAGAAGCCCCAAAACAAAGAGTAGGCCTCGTGGGTGGTTCACTGGATTTAGAGGAGAACCAAACCAGATTCCTCAGTAGACAGTAGGAAGTGTCTCAGAAACATGGCTACAAATACTCCAAGCACCGGCAGCCTGATGGAAGGGAGCAGGGGTTGATGTCAGTCTCTCCCACAGAGCCCTAGCCCCAGCTGGGTGCTGGGGACCAAGCTGCAGGCAGCAAGTAGCCCGTGACTGGATACACTCTCCAAGTCTCCAGTCCTCTGCAGGCCTGCTTCTCCCTGTGTAAAACAAGGGGGCTGCATTCATGAGGAAGTTCTTCTGCAGAGGGCCACTGACGTGCTGCAGCAGCCTCCATGGCACGGGGCCAGGGCAGCTGGGGCTGCTCTGCTTTTCTCAATTTCAAATGTTGCCATTCACTGTAAAATTTTATTTGTGGAGGAAAAGGTTCCATTACTTTATTTATTTATTTATTTACTTTATTTATTTATTTATTTATTTATTTATTTTTTGAGACGGAGTCTTGCTCTGTCGCCCAGGCTGGAGTGCAATGGCGTGATCTCGGGTCACTGCAAGCTCCACCTCCCAGGTTCATGCCATTCTCCTGCCTCAGCCTCCTGAGTAGCTGGGAATACAGGCGCTGGCTACCATGCCTGGCTAATTTTTTGTATTTTAATAGAGACGGGGTTTCACCGTGTTAGCCAGGATGGCCTCGATCTCCTGACCTTGTGATCCACCCGCCTCAGCGTCCCAAAGTGCTGGGATTACAGGTATGAGCCACGGGGCCCAGCCATTATTTATTTATTTATTTGATTTGATTTGTTGAGATGGAGTCTTGCTCTGTCACCTAGGCTGGAGTGCAGTGGCATGATCTCAGTTCACTGCAGCCTCCGCCTCCCGGGTTCAAGCAATTCTCCTGCCTCAGCCTCCCAAGTAGCTGGGATTACAGGCATCTGCCACCATGCCCGGCTAATTTTTGTATTTTTAGTAGAGATAGAGTTTCACCATGTTGGCTAGGCTGGTCTCAAACTCCTGACCTCAAGTGATCCACCTGCCTCAGCCTCCCAAAGTGCTGGAATTACAGGTGTGAGTCACTGTGCCTGGCCTCCATTACTTTTTTAAAAAAGTTTGGCAAGTATTAGATGATTTCTGAGGCTCTAACATTGTGACCTCGGCTTGGAGGAAGAATGAGCCCCAAGGGCACAGAATGCAGTGATCTCATCAATAGTCAGCACCAGGAACATCTGCTCTGGCCTTGTGTTTGCTGCCTCTTCCCCACAGCCTTCCCACTGGGGTGGTGGGTTAGATAGCTCCCAACCCCACAGGCAGGGCCTCTATGCTCCAATCCTAGAGAAGCATCCCGATGGCTTTCCAAAGAGCTATGCTAAAGACAGGCCCAGAGACTACGACTTGGGGCTTCCACTTCAGGGATTTCCAGGGGTCTCCGCACAGAGAAAGCTTTACCATCTCTTGACTTCAGTCTTTTACATCTGTTTCAAAAAGGAAGAAAAGGCCGTGCGTGGTGGCTCACACCTGTAATCTCAGCGCTCTGGGAGGCTGAGGCTGGTGGATCACCTGAGGTCAGGAGTTCAAGACCAGCCTGGCCAACATGGTGAAACCCTGTCTCTACTAAAAATACAAAAATTAGCCGGGCATGATGGCAGGTGCCTGTAATCCCAGCTACTTGGGAGGCTGAAGTGGGAGAATCGCTTGAACCCAGGAGGCGGAGGTTGCAGTAAGCCAAGATCATGGCACTGCACTCCAGTGTCGGTGACAAAGCGAGACTCCTTCTCAAAAAAAAAAAAAAAGGAAGAAAAAAAAGGACAGAAGGTGAGAGGAGGGCCAGATGTTAAGACTTTTGCTACCACAGTGCCAGGTGGCCACCTGCATGTCCTCTGTGGTGTCATCACAGCCAGACCCTCAGTAGGCTCACTTGGGAGACTTTCCTCTGCTTCCTCCACCTCCAAATCACTCAAACAGAGTGATTCTCTTTGGGCCTAAGACAACTGAGAGCCTACTGCTTGCTCAGGTCACCCTTTCCACTATGCAACAGCCAGGACAGGAATTTCCTAAACGTTGATGACTTCAGCTTTGGCCTTCTCCTATTTCTGGTCCTCAACAGAGGGAAGAACAGCTGGTCACTTGTACAAAAGTCCTCCATCTATTAGAACACCTTGGTAAATATCCTCTCTTTTCTATCTAATTAATCCCAATGCCTTTATCTTTTCTTCAAGGGACATTCTCATCCCTACATCACGCAACAGTCTTTTAATCATCTTTATGGATTTCCTCTGAGCCCTCCACAAGTTTGAACAGGGAATAAGGTCCTGAAGATCTGTTTTCTGTTGCTGCAAAGATGGGAGGGAGAAGAAAGTCTTTGTTGATGAGAAAGGAGAATAAAGAAGTTAAACATGTAGAATAAACCAGATTTCTCTAGAGAAAATGGCCTTGGCCATTCTGTCTTTATTGAAATGAGATGCAAGAAGCAAGAGGAGATACACCATCTGCTACTTGGAGAAACGAGGAGGCGGCCTCTGTTATTATCTGATGCTGATGAATGGCCACAGAAGAACATATATTTTTGGCATCATTGTATTAATTAAAAGTTATTCATTGAAGACTAAGCTCAAAATGCTAAATTGGGAGAGACAGAGGGCACTGGATGACAGAATCGCAATCTTTAAAGATCCCAGAAAACCGAACTCAGGCTTTCTGCAGGTAAGGGCATGCACTTTAGCAGGGACAGATGCAGTGTCTTGAATTTTGGGCCCAGACCTAAAGGTCCTTGCACAGGATGACAAAGATAGGCTTAACCACCAGACGAGAAGTGACGCAGCAGGGTTTTCAGCTGATGGAAACTCTCCATTTTATAATGTCTGCCTCTTGTGAAGAACTGCCTATCCATCCCCATGGTGGGCTGCCAACTGCCACATTTGTTCCATGTGGAGACTGGGCAGTGGGTGTGGCTTATGACAATCTTCAAATATTTAAGGATCTACCCATGTGAAAGAGGAATTAGTCTTGTTCTAGTGTCTAAGAAGACAGATCAGGATCAAAGTTACAGGGAGACACACTTTAGATCAATGTGTGAAAGGCTTTCTAACAACAGTCATGAAAGCTAGGATTTGTGAGGCCTTACCTAAGCCCAGCCCTGCTCCAGGCACTGCCAAGGTGTGAGTGATCACTCCAGTCTAGAGAGGAGAAGAGGGCCTGGAGATGGCTGGTGACTTACCTGGCATCACCCAGCTCATCAGTGGGAGGGGATGGATGGGAAGGCATTAATTCACAGGCCTGTGTAATTTGTATGTCTGCTGTGCTGCTGCCCAAAGTCTAACCAAGATGTCCATTTGAAAGCAAGTGGGCTGCTGTGAATAGCCTGTCATTGGGGATGTGCAGAAAGACCCAGTAGACAAGATGCTGTGGAAGAAATCTGAACACAGGTGTAGAGCTGAACCAACTTCCTGGCAGGTCTCTCCCAATTCAGAGAGTGGAGGATTTGACACATAGCTCAAGAGGAGGAGTTGCTGTGTTCACCCTGGGCACCCTGCCTTCCTTCTCCTCAGAGGCTCCAGCTACGCTGACAGCACAGGGTGCTAGAGTGGCCTCAGCCTCTCCTCAAATACCAGCCACATACCCATGAGTCTGCAGGCAAATAGCTCACACTGTCAAGTTTCCCTGCTGCTCTTGCTTTACTGCAGGAAGCTACACCCAAAACTGCTTTGCGATGTGCAGGAGGCAACCGGGACATAACCTGCCCACAGTTATGATCATCCTGGGGCTGACACTACCAATTACCTCTCTTCCTATTCCCCCCACCTCCTACTCCAGCAATTTATACTTGAACTGGAAGCAGCTTCTGTTGGTGGGAACATCTGGGTTGTTTGTTTCCATGGCCTAGCCAGCACTCTCAGCTCTGCACTTCTCTGCCCCGAGCACTCTGGCTGCCCTCCAGCTTGATGGAGGGTCCTGGGGACACATTCTGATTCCAGCACTTTCCAAGCAGACCGTGGTATTTCTCCACATGGAAGGCTGGCGGTTCAGTGTGGCTCTGACCCCTGGGAGACCCTGCCTGCTGGCTTCTGACTGCCAGGGGAAGAAGGGGAGGGAAGATGTCAGGGATGGCGGAGACGTGCAGCCAACCAGCCTGGAGGGCTGTGTCTGTTCACGGCTGTCCACAGTGCTGCCCAGCTCCTGAATCTCCTGTGCTGGAAGGACAGCCTCCCACTGGCACCCAGAGTCATTCTTTTTCTGTTTGATTTATAAGATAGCAGTGAGGGCTGGGAGGCTTGGAGTTGGAACAAAACAGAGGGAAGGAAAACGTCATGGGAAGCAACCTATTTTTGAAAACCGTGAGCTGACGCCAGGAGATTAGATTCTGTTTGTCTTGGCTGATGGGCTTGTTTAAAAAAAAAAAAAAGAAAAACCAAAAACCAAAAAAAAAAAAACAAAACCAAAACCCCCCTCTCCCCCCAACACACAAAGTATTCCTGCTGTCTGGGTCTGCTCTGGCTGTCTGGAAGCATCTTGGCTTTGTTCAACACACCCCCTGCTGCCAGGAGCACGGCTCTATCCAGAGCAAACCCCCCTGTCAGCAGGAATTCCGACGCTGACACAGCACAAAGCTGCCTCAAGAGGCCTTCTCAGTTTCTGGACTGACCTCAGAATCCTGTGCATCTGGGTAACGCCTGGCCGAACCTTCCTGCAGGCTGGGAATGGAGGCCAATGACAATGCATTCAAGGGAAGCCAGGTCCCCTGGAGTGTGGCACATATTCAGCTGCATCTGCTGAGCTGAGGCAAGCCTGGTCTGATGCAGGTGTGTCAGGAGTGAGGTCTGGGAACTAGGGAGAGGCCACTCAGGACTTCTCACTGGGGCTGGGCCAAGGGTACTTGTCTCAGCTTCAAGAGCAGGCTGGTGTAGTTACACGGAGATAAGTTGTTTCCCAGCTGCAAGCTCCTCCGGAGCAGGGACCACAGTTCATGTACCTCTGTGCCCCTAGGACTGTGCTTTGTGTTAGGCCTGGAACAGGTCTCCAACCACCCTCAACCCCATAAGAGCCGATGGCTTCAGAGTAGGAAGGGGGCACAATAAGCAGCAACCTGGGACCAGGACAGGGACTTCACAGGCGGCACGCATGTGCCAGCAGCAGGGTAGAAGGTGTAGCACTTGGGGACCAAGACTGACAGTGGACGGCTGGACACCAACAGCAGTATCAACAGCAGCAGCAGGTGTATCATAAGACACTCATGCCAGGTTGCCAAGTCAGTCTGGCTCCTGACCTGTTCCCTCAAGCATCTTGCCTCCCGTCGAAAAGTGTATGGGCCCTTGCAGTTCACAGCATCCTTTTTCCACCCTCCAGAAGGTCACTGCTTCTAAGGGCAGTACCACTGACATTTTCTGCAAATGCCAGGGTCATCTGAGGCTGGCTGTGGTGTAGATCTGGGTACTGGCTCTGGACCTGGCTGCCCTGGGAAACAGGCCTGAGGTAGGGGCCTTGACCCTGGTCTCAGGGGTAGGCTGCAGGCCACCCACTCCTGGACCCCTTTCTGCCATGCCCCCAGATCCATGGGCTGTCCAGAGGTGGGGAGGCCAGTGTGCAATGGCCAACCACAATATGCCTGGGAATCCTCACTGTTAGGGAAAAGAACGGGAGCATCACACTCGATCTCAGTCTCAGGATACCTTGGGGTTGAGGTGCCACTAGAAGGGCTCCTGTGCACAGTCAAGATTGAACAGGCCCTCCTGCAAAACATGATGTTGAGGGACCAAAATACAGATAGAGTACAAGCTCAACTACACTGAAAATAAACCTACAAAAAAGTCAGAAAGAAAATACATCAAAGCACCTATGGTAGTTATTTATGGATGCTTGGGTCAAAGAAAGTTATTATTTTCTTCTCTGTGCTTTCTCTTTCTTTCTGGCAGCATGTATTCTGCAACTGGCATTTTATAATCGGGAAAAAATATTATTAAGGAATATAAAAAAGAGAGACAATGGTACAGGCTTCTGCCTGTCCGTAGGCAACGTGAGGCTGCGTGTGTGCTGACATGGACTATCAACAACAGAGCCACTGGACCCGTCCCACCTCGCCACTGTGTCCCTGGGTGGGATCCTCCAACAGTGTATGGTGGTAGAGCTGCCACCACAGGCCAAGTGCTTCTGCAAGACGACTCACCTGTAGCAACTCCAGATCAGATGAATCCTCCTGTCCAGGGACCATTTCTGTTAACATCTCAGACATGACTTTTGTGTTTCCTCGGACGACGTCCAGTTCACTCCGCAGCCTGGCAATCTGGTGGGGGCCACGAGGAAGGAAAGCAGGAAGGAAAGGTCAGTCAGCCTGCACTTGCAATATCAGAATCAGCTTGCTCCTAGGCTAGTGACAATCCCTCTCACTGGGAGATCTGGGTTGCCTTTCTGAGTGCACACGGCAGAGGCCACCTTCTCATCTCCCTCTGGCCTGCCTGTCAGCTCTGAGAGAGCTGAATGGGCCCTGCTACCAACAGTCTGTTGTGCCTCTCTTAATGTGACACGAAAGCAGTATCACGTAGTGAAGGGCTCAGTGTCAGGAATGCACCAAGCTGGCTCTCTGTCCCGGCTCTCCCACCATGGGAACTTGAGTAGAAGCTGAAGCTCTCAGGGCTTCCGTTCCTGCTCTTTAAAATCCAAGTGCAGGAGGGCAGGAGCTCTGAGATCCCTTCAGAGCTGAGATCCTATTCTACGAAGCTCTGAGTTATAGACTCTGTTCCTAGGAGTTTTATATCTAAACACTAGGATCCTCTGAGAGGCTGGGCAGTGTCAACAGCACTTTTCTGCTGTGGCAAGAATGAGAGAAGAACAGGGGAAGACCACAGGGGAGACACCTTCCCCACCCAGCTCCCTACATGGTAACATAGTCCCTTGAAAAATATCCAAGCTGTCCATCAGCGATCCCAAAGCCTGGACTGGGCCAAGGCCCGAGGCTCCTCTCCAGCAACAGAGACATCAACACTTTCTCCCCTTGCCCTCAGTCCTGTGCCTCAGATCTGCCCCTTCACTCCCTCAACCCCCTCGAAGCATCTGCGGAAACCACAGGGACCTTCCTTGCCCACGGTGAAGTATCACAGAAGAATCTGCATAGAAGTGCTTATTGGTCCCATCACTCAGTGACAAGAGACCAAACAATGCTGGACAGAGGTAAAGAACTGCACACGACACTGAAGGGAGCCCTGGAAGACTCAGCAGCAGCATCCAGAGCCAGACCTGAGCCACTCTGAGCCTTCGTTTCCCCACTTACAGAAAGGTGGCACTAACACCACACCTCACCAGGCTGCTGTGAGGTTCCCACGTGGCGCCTGGCATGCAGCTATGCTCTCTACTACACACGTATGGCCCTTGTTCCTGCTCAAAGGTCCAGAGAGAGGAACTGTAATGTCATTCTTCCTGCACTGTGACCCAGCTTAAGTGACAACTCCTCTGCTCAGTGAAGCCTTTTCTGACTCTCCCCACCCCATTCTGAGGTAGAAGCAACCACTCCCGCTTCCTCGGGTTCCCACTCGCTGTGCCATCTTTCACTATTGCAGCTGTAGCAGCCTCTCCTGTGTGGGTGGGTTCGCTCAGCAGACCCTTAGCTTCTTAGGGCAGGAACTCAGCTGGGTTGTGCTTTATACCCTCAGCATAGAGACAGGGACAGGAGACCTCAATCAATGGTCTACCAGGGAGATGGTCTGGGTCCCGAGAGGCTCTTGTCAGCCTCTGGTTCTGTCTGGTGGATGATCCAGGGGTTTTCTTCAAAGTCTTGGTAGAGAGAAGAGGTTTCTGGCTAGGAAGGCCCAGGAAGGCTTTGGGTAGCCACCTGGTGGACTCTGAAGCCCTGGGTCCTCTTGGCCAGGCTGGGTACTGACCTGCCTATCTCTGCCTGCATTCGGCTCCCCCAGGGGCAACAGGCCTTAGGGCTCCTGTGCTACCTATGCCCAGACCCTCCAGACCCAGCATCTTATGGCTACTAGGAGGGCCTTCCCGAGCACCTCCCACACTGTATGTCAGTGAAGGGGCTCAGTAACTGTCCAACTTCAAACATTTTCTGCCTTCCCTCAGAGCAGGAAGGGCACAGTTCTGCCCATAGAAGCAGGGCCAAGAGCCAGAGACCTTCCCCACAGCACTTGGGTAGCAGCCATCATGAGGACCTTTTCCATCTGTCAAGCCCACACCTGCCTGGTGGGGTAACAGATCACCTGTTCTACTGATGGGAGACTGGGGTTAAATGTCCTGACTGAAGCCTACAGTGAGCAGCACAGCAGGGGGCTCACACCCAGGCCCTGGGGGCTTCAAGTTCACTCCTCCTCCTCTCTTACTCCCTGCTCAGAGCTAGCAGGGAAGTGTGAGGAACACGACATAACACTGCCCTCCCTACACACACACTGCTTGACCCTCTGCTTCAGTGAGGTTCCACAGTCATGACACTGTCGCAAATAGTAAATAAGAATTTGGTAAATATAGGCCAGGCGCGGTGGCTCAAGCCTGTAATCCCAGCACTTTGGGAGGCCGAGACGGGCGGATCACGAGGTCAGGAGATCGAGACCATCCTGGCGAACACAGTGAAACCCCGTCTTTACTAAAAAAATACAAAAAACTAGCCGGGCGAGGTGGCGGGTGCCTGTAGTCCCAGCTACTCGGAGGCTGAGGCAGGAGAATGGCGTGAGCCTGGGAGGCGGAGCTTGCAGTGAGCTGAGATCCAGCCACAGCACTCCAGCCTGGGCCACACCTCAGAAAAAAAAAAAAAAAAAAAAGAATTTGGTAAATATAAACATTGGAGAGTTTTTTTTTTTTCCATGTCCGACCAATTCTCAAATTGTAATTGAAATTCTCTGGATTCTTCTAAAGAGTACTCCCCAATTCATCTAAAAAATCCAGCGTGGGGTTAAAACTGCATTAGTTTATCAGGAAGTAACCCGGGAAGGTGGGGAGTGTTTGGGATAAAAGCAGGCTTCTTGTGCTTCAGGAGGGCCTCACTGATCAGGTCACAGGCTTCTGATGGCTGACTTTTTTTATAGGATAGATCTAAGCCTCTGCATGACAGACAAGCCCGTCACAACTCAGCTGCACTTCTATGCTTTTGGCCTCACGTTTTGCCATGGTTTCCTCCCAGATCTGGGCCCTACATATGTGCCTGCTCTCCAGTCAAGCCACCTGCTGCTCCGAGAGAGCTCTGCGCCTCTGCACCTCTGCCTTGCAATGTCATTGCTGAGCATGCGGTCTCACATGACAAAGCCCCACTCCTGTGTCAGGACCCTCTGTGTGTCAGGTCCCCAGTGCCTCCCAGGCACCACTCAACCCTGGGCTCACAACTCTGAGTCCTTGGTTCCGCTCCCCAGCACAGCCTGACCACACTCCACCATGACTGCCTCAGCATTTGTCTCCCCTGGGGATTGAGCTCTTCCATCTCTGTGTCCCTGACACCCAGCATAATGCCTGGCTTGGGAGGCCTTTGTAAGTGTCTCCCAGAAAGATGAATAAGGAGAGTCAGCTGGCTTGCCTATGGCCCCGAAGTATGCAAGTACCTGTTCTGAATTGGCTGTGATGGGGCCAGTCACACTCAGAGCCGGGGCCTGCGGTGCGGAGTAGGGAGCAGGAGGCGGCGAGGAATAGGAACCAGCACTTGTCCTCTGCTGTGATTGGGACCTGGGCATGGTCGCGGCTGGATCCACTTCAGGGACACTCTGGCATGGCAACAAGAAAGTCCTCTGTTTACCTGGGCTGCCTGCATAGCTGGGCCTGGTACCTACCCCACCCCATGCGGCATTTCCCCAAAGCTGCCCACGGAAGGCTTAAGGCCCTGCTCCACTGCTGCCCGGGTGAGGCTCACAGAACCCCACTGAGCCCAGGCTCTCCATCTGGGAAGTGGGGCTGCCAATGGCTCCTCCCTCTACTTACCTCTCAAGGAGTGTGTGGCAGACAATGAAAGCAACTCCAAAAGGCAGCACCGAGAGTGCTCTGTGAGCCCTCTGGTCATGGTTCCTATTATTAAGACCACCTTGGGATCCAAGTGGAGGGAGGGCGGTTATTAAGTTTTGCCAATCACAAATCTTTACTTTGTACCATAAGAATTACTTTTTTGGCCTTTACAAGTAGACTAATATAAATAGTAATTATGTAATTTACCAAATGTTTTTTGTAACTATAGGAACAACAACACTGCTCTCTGTCATTATTAGAAGAGTGAAACAGATTATGTTGATTTCACAAAGCATAGCGCACGGTCTGGAGGGATCATGATGAGAGCAAGCTCTAGAAAGGGCAATCCCTTGGGCCGGGCGCGGTGGCTCATGCCTGTAATCCCAGCACTTTGGGAAGCCAAGGCGGGCGGATCATGAGGTCAGGAGATCGAGACCATCCCGGCTAACACGATGAAACCCCGTCTCTACTAAAAATACAAAAAATTAGCCGGGCGTGGTGGCGGGCACCTGTAGTCCCAGCTACTCGGGAGGCTGAGGTAGGAGAATGGCGTGAACCTGGGAGGTGGAGTGTGCAGTGAGCCAAGATCGCGCCACTGCACTCCAGCCTGGGCGGGAGAGCGAGACTCTGACTCAAAAAAAAAAAAAAAAAAAAAAGAAAAGGCCATCCCTCATGCTTACCCTTTGGGTATCTCAGATGACCACTTGCACATTAAGTCGTGTTCCTATGAGAGACATGCACAGGTGTGCTGTCCTTCTCAGAGATGGGCAACGGGGGCAGGCAAAGTGACATGTACTGGGATGAGGTGCCTCTCCCAGACCCTGGTGCTTTCCTGGCTCTCCCCCAGGCTAGGAGTGGAGCTGATTCCCAGCCAGTAGAGGGACTAGCTTCCTTGCGAAACCATGAGTGGCATAACCTACATGCTTTTAACCCTGAAGTGCCACGCTGCCCCCTCCATGGTGCTCGAGTTACTGTTGGCACTGCAAAAGCTTTGGTGGGATGCCCCTAAAGGGACCTTCCCAGAGCTTTGATCCCAAGGCTGATGGAATCAAGGATTGAATCCAGAATCAGATCTGGATTGATGCTGAATGCTCACAGCTCAAAATAAATTTTAGATCCATTTGACTTTGTATACTTGAAAAACCAGAAAGCTAATTTTTGCCCCAAGAGTGACATCAAGACCGCTGTATGCTCTGAGGTGCTATGGTGCTCTGAGGGACAACAGGATTCCCACACCAGATTCTAGGGGCCTCTGAAAAGCAAGTGCTAATGACCCTCACAGGATGGCTCCGCCCGAGTAGCCATTTCCATGAAAACCCTGAACTGATCCCTCTATTATACTCTTCCACAGACACTGCTGCCACTTAATCACCAGTCAACCAGCTGTCTCACTCCTGCATGCCCCTTGTTATTAAAAAGGAATGCCCCCAAGCTTTAAGAAAGCATGATGACAAGCTGAATAATTCAAAGGCAGCAGCAGAAGGGTGGCTGCAGCAGCTTGGCTCACCCGTTCTGCAGTAGGTCTTTCTAGAAAGTGCCAGCTGGAAACTTACCCGCTGTGGTGTGTGTATGGGAGACAGAGCGTCCAAGTCTGCCATGGGAAATTCAACCCCTTTCCTCTTCAGCTCCTCATATATGTGCACAACGCCGGTGAGATCAGGACTGCTTCGAAAGGCATCAGCCCATGCCTGGGAGAACAGAAGCCCTGTTAGGAAGCATTTGTCAAGAGCTGCTGTGGTACCTGAAAATCCAAAGTGGCCTAGGTCCTCTCCCTGACACCAGTGCTGTCCTACATGCACATGCAAACTGCACTGGCTAAACCCATTCTGTTCCTTCCTTCCGCAACTGCTGCCACGACACAGCTGGTGAAACCCTGGCTTTCAGTGGTGCTGCTGAGTGTGAACAAAAAACACAAAACTTAATTTAGCATGTATTTCCTTGGAGAAGAGACAGAGAAATAACACCTATGCGTTGTGGTGCATCCTAAAAAGCAGGCATTTCCCTAATGGCAAGGAAATCAATTGCTGGGGCTGTTTAGCTGCAGGGAGTGGAAGGTGCAGCCTTGTCAGCTCAGTAGGGTGCCTGCCCTCTGTGCAGCAGCACCTCTGCCCTGAGAGCTTCTACTGGTGGAGCTGGGAACCCGCAACAAATTGAGCAGAAAGGAAAGGAGAAATTGATGGGTGACATGAAATAAAGGCTAACTACAGGTTTCCTCAGATCAGAGACAACTAATGCCGAGCTTGTCTAGCCTAGCTCTGTATAGCGCTGCTGCTGGTAGGTGAGATGACTGTGGTTCAAGGGAAGAAGAGCCCATTGGGAGCCAGACCCAGGCCAGACTGGGGAGTTCACCCCCAGGGGTCCTTTTCCCAGATCCAAGCTTCTTCCATGATGTCCGCTGCCAAAAATATCAGCACACATGTGCCCAAATCGAAAAATCCAATGAAAACATGATCACTAGATTCCCTTCAGTGAAAATATACCACAGAGAGGAAACAGCAAAAATTCAAGTAGATTATCATTTCTGTCGACTCATGAAATTTAAAAATTAAAAAAAAATTCTGGGCCGGGCACAGGGGCTCATGCCTGTAATCCCAGCACTTTGAGAGGCCAAGGCAGATGAATCACGAGGTCAGGAGATCAAGACTATCCTGGCTAACACAGTGAAACTCCATCTCTACTAAAAATACAAAAAAATTAGCTGGGCGTGGTGGTGGGCGCCTGTAGTCCCAGCTACTCAGGAGACTGAGGCAGGAGAATGGCATGAACCTGGGAGGCGGAGCTTGCAGTGAGCCGAGATGGCACCACTGCACTCTAGCCTGGGCGACAGAGTGAGACTCAGTCTCAAAAAAAAAAAAAAAAAAAAAAAAATTATGTTTTTTGGAAGTCTCAGACTGTATCAAAAAAAGAATATCCAAAGGGCTCCCCAGAAATGGCCCTTCCCATGCTGTCCCATTCACCATACGTACCCAGAGGAGGAGGCAGAGCCTCTTGTGCCCATGACTCCATTGCCAAGTCCGTCATTGTCACAGCATTTAACTGCTTCCCTCACTCCAGCAATGTGGTACAACCAATCCTGAGGCAGCTACAGAAACTCTATCTCTAACCAACAGACCCATTTGAAGTTAAAAGGTCAGTTTCCAAAAAGCCTCCTTAGTTATGACTGATGCATCTCACTTACCAGGAACAGTACTGTCAGCCTGGCTTTCCCTGATGCACTTATTGAATTTGCATGCTCAGGGATTTAAAGATACTGGATCAGGACAGCCCCTCTTGGTCAACACTCCTTCTGGATTCTGAGAAGGGCCAAAGAAGGTGCCTCACAGAGCACTGTTCTGCCTGGAAGGTCCAGCTGGAAAGTAGGTTGCCCACAGGGAGTGCCTCTGGCCCCGCCCCCACCAGCTGCCATGGCTGCCGTCACCTGGTTCAAAATCCAGCTAAGTCCTGTGACTCCAACCTCAAAATGCCCTAGCATTTTAGTTTAGGGTGTTGACTTTCGGGTCTAAAAACCAGTTTCACAGCCCACTGTGGGAGGCTGGGGAAAAAACACATGGCAGTTTTTCCTGGCACCACTTCATGCCTCTACATGGAACACCGACAGCTCCAGGGACTCCTTTCAATTCATCCAGCTCTCTACCCAAGCCAAATCTGAGATAACAGGAATAAAGATGAAAGAACTATGGCTCTTCTCTCCAGCTGGAGGATACTTCTTGGGGTCCACTTTCTAAGGCACTCTGCTCCCATGTTCACAGAGACAGGCTGCAGTGGGAGGGAAATGCATACCGAAGTTGGGCCAGTCAGATGCTCCTCCTTCCAGGAACTCAGCAGCACTAGGAGCTGGGTTGTTCTCACTGGGTAGGCAGAACTGTCCTCTGTAACTCCAGGGCCATGTGCCAGCACAGGACTGGAAGCAGAGACTGCCTATGTTCTCCAGAAGGAGCAGCTAGAGCGCTCAGAGGTGCAGACGTACAAGAGAGGATTTGGAAGGCCTTCCTGATCTTTTTTGTCCCTTCCCAGGGCTGGGTGACCTGGACTTCTGGGAGACCCTGCCCTGTCATGACAAACTCTTCTCTTTGCCTAGGCAAGCTGGAGTTGACATCTGTTGTTTGCGACCAAGTAGTCTTGGCTAATGTACCCGCTTCCCACCTGCCACAATTCCAACCCCTATCTGGGACCTCCGTGCAGACTGGATGAGATGGCTGCTAACAGAGCAGATTATTGAATAGGATTCTGATGCCAATGGAGGAAAAAACAGGGTGCGGGGGCATCTCTGAAGAAATGCAGCTCTGGGTGTCTTTCATCTCTGGGTATCTCCCATTCATATGTGAAAACGTAGAGATGGGAGACATCCAGAGATGCCGTGTGTCCCTAGCATCTTCTTGGGACATGCCTCAATAATTGGGTATGGGTCAGAGCAAGACAGGGTCTTGCTCTGTCCCCCAGGTTGGAGTACAATGGTGGTGCCATCTTGGTTCACTGCAACCTCTGCCTCCAGGCTCAAGCAATCTTCCCACTTTAGCCTCCAGAGTAGCTGGAACTACAAGCATGTGCCACCATGCCTGGCTAATTTTTGTAGTTTTTGTAGAAATGGGGTTTCATCATGTGGCCTAGGCTGGTCTTGAACTCCTGGACTCAAGAGATTCACCCGCCTCGGCCTCCCAAAGTACTGGGGTTACAGACATGAGCCAACTGCACCAGGCCCAGATACCTGTTGAAGGCAGACACCGAGTCTCTCTCACCCTTGTCCAGAGAAGGCAGTCAGTCAACATTTGTCAGGTTAAACTGAATTCAGTTCTCACAGTTACTAAGCATCCTTATTTTACTACTTCAGAGAACAGAGGAAAGATGGCCACTTAGGCTGTCAACAGACTGAAGCGACAGTGACAAAGGAGGGGTGCTGGAAGGCTGACCCAGCTGAGGATATTCCCTAGGGGAGATGCGGCAAGCCTCAGGAGGTCTGGCCACTCTTGGAGTCCTTAACCTGAAGCCTGGGAGCAGCAGAGAGGGTGGGGCAGGCTACCCTCCCCTAAAGCTGCCTTTTCAGAAAGCAAAGTGATGCAGTGGTGTGGGCACACTCTGAGGGCCTGTCACAGGAGCTAGCTGGTTAATGGCCAAGTGGCCAGCTCACTGGAAGCCTTCTTTTCCTGCCTGTGGCTACAAGATTAGGGGCTTGCAAGACCCAGAGGAAGGTCTAATGAGGAGAAAAAAGGAAAGAGATCAATTCAGATCTCCTTCATTCCTTTGGACTGTATACAAAACCCCAGACTAAAACCAGACACAAACATAAACCATATCCTATTCATTTCTGTATCCCTTAAAGTTTTGACAAAGCTTTGAATCATCAAATTTCAGACCAATAAACCATGGCTGATTTAAACTATAGGCTCTGGGATGCCTTTGGATAGAAGAGAGCTTCTGTCAGCTCCTGCTTACGCCCCAAGACCAGACTTCCTATTCCCAGTGACAGGGTCCCCAGGGAGCTGCTGTCCACACAGAATCTGGCCAGAGCCCAGCTACCAGGCTCTGATGTCTTCAAAGAACACACACCTCCAGCTTCTCCTGTCCCCACTCCCATCCCCACCTCAGTCAGCTCACTTTCTTCAGTGGAAAGAAAGTATTTTTAGACTATTGCTGGGGCATGGGGAGGGGGGCCGGGGAGGCATGACCACACTGAGGTGACTCTGCCAGGATGACTCCATTTCTGCTCCTGAAAACAATTTCAAGGGAAAGGCTTAGGGAAGGCATAGAGTGGGGGCATCCTTTTTGTCTTCTCAACAAACGGGGCTTAATGTGAGCAAACAAAAAGGAACACAAGCCAAAACACCAGCCAAGGCATGAGGTGAAAACGTCGGGGTGAAGCTGAAAGCTGCCAGAAGCGAAGTCTTTGGTACCCCCGGGGTAGGAGTGAGTGTCAGCAAGCTACTAACCAGGCTGCACCACTCTCAATGTGTCTCTCCTCCCATCCTCCCAGGAAGACCAGCTCCATCCAGACAGGCAGACCCTGTGGTGAGGGTAAGCCGACTGAGCCCTCGCACCTGTTGGTAAAAGGTCCCAGAACCATGCTGCTGGGTCTGGCTTTTGGTGGGTTGAGGGGGACTGGGTGGCTACGGATGGCTGCAGGGCAGCCAGAAGACAGAAAGCCCCCATACGGGAAGGGAAGGAGTGCAGTGGGGGAAGGAGGGGTAGGCATCAGTTGGATTCTCTTTGCAGTTGGCCAGGGTGCTACTGATGGTAAACGTGCCACTGGGTAGGCTGACCATGCCTGCGAATGGCACTCTGAAAGGGAATCAGAAGGTGGGCTGGGGGCAGGCAGATGTGCACGGATGAGCTCTATCACCCATTTCCCTATAGGCACAGGGAGACTTTGGAAAAGCTAGTGTGGAGCCCAACCTCCCCCTTCCCCTCAATCTGGCTGCGGCTCTGCTTCCACCATCCCCAGGGCAACCAAAGGGGCAGTGGGCTTTGGCCAGCAGCTGGTAATCAGAGCCATGGGTTCTACCTCTGCCAGGACCCCCAACCATGCCTCATAGGCAGAAGGTGTTAGGGAGGCACGTCTGTGTGGCCCCTTTACCTTGAAAGCTTTTCAAGTGCTAACACATTCAATCTACTTTTCCAGAATGGAAAGGTTAAGGCTGTATCCCACTCCACCCCCAACCCACAAACAGTCAAAAGCCAGTTTAAGTCCTTCCTGACTGGGCCCTTGCCCTCTGTCATCTGCAAACCTTCGTTTTTCCAGTTAAACTGCTGGCTCCCTGAGGGTAGGGCCAGGACTGACCCTGCCCCACTTCTCTGAAGAGCACCAAGAAGCATCCTGACACCACGATGGGGCAGAGGAGTCTGTTACTGCTCTGGCACCCCACGCTTAGCTGAACCTCCTCTAAGCCTAGCCGCATTGATATGAGAGCTGCTACCTATTCACAGGCTGGCAAGGCAGCCAGTGACCTGTCACCTCCAACCCCATTTTTGTCTCATGGTGGGAGCAGCACTTTCTCTCCTGGGGGAATTGTCAGAGTCTCTGGGGGAGCCTTAAGATTTTCTAAAGTATATTCAACATGCAAACAAAAGTACTTTCTTTCTCAAAGGGGCTAAAAAAAGGTTGACCCAATGCAATACTACTCCACGCTCTAATGAAGAAGATTGAAAACAGGGTATATGGGTGAGGATGTGAAGCAACTAACATTCTTGAGTGCTGGTGACCGAGGACACCCAAGAGCCTCATGGAGGCCATTCCCCACCACCCAGCAACCTCATACCTCAGTATGAGGTGGATACATGTGAAATTGCTAATATTTGGCCATTTTTGACCAACAAAGATGGCACTTTCACATATTCAACTTAATATATTCCCATTAAAAAGGAATATATATGCTCAACAAAAGTCAAGTGCTAGATGCTCATAGCAGCGTTTTTCACAGTAGCCCTACACTGCAAACACCAAGTCCCCATTAACAGTGGGAGGAGTAAAGAAACTGCAGCGTGTTCACACAATAGGACTTGGTACAGCAACGGGAATAAAAGACTTAGAATCACAGGGAATAATGCGTGTGACACCCACAAACACAGCAGAGGCAACAGAGCACTCTGGACAAAGTTCAGGAACAGAGAAGACTCGTCTATGCTGTGAGAGCTCAGGCAAGTGGTCATCCGGAAGGTGGGAGGTTTTGGGTATGTTCATATTCTGTTTCCAGATGCAGGGGCTGGTTACATGTTCAGTTTGTGAAAATTTATCAAGTTGTACACACTTTTATGTGTGATTTCCTGTATATATAATTCAATTAAAAGTTAAAAAAAAAAAAAAAGAAAGGGCTAGGGATTCTGTTTATTCTATTGGTTCCCCTTGTTACAGAAGCCAAGCCACCTACAGCTGAATGCTGCCTGCTGTCCTCTGCTGGGCAGCCGTTACCAAAGGCGAGAGCTCTTCAGGAACACTGCAAATCCAGAGAGGAAGAACACTCTCCAGCTGGGTCATAACCCCCATCTAGGAGTAGCACCCTTATCTGAAGCCCATGCTTTTCACAGCTGGATCAGGAAACTGTGTCCAGTCAGGCAGAAGCTTGCAAGGCATCTCAAGGCCCCATTCTGCTCAGGTCCCCGTGGCCAGCACACACTGCTACTGCCAGGCCAGCAGGGGGAGGCCTCAGAACATGGTGCTGGTCACGTCACACCATGGGCTGATCTCATGGGCTTAGGGTTGAGAGCAGACAGGCAAGAACCCCAAGTTCCATTTTACAGATAAGGTAGTAAATGCCCACATAAATTACCACACCTGTCTGAGGTTAGCAGCAGGGGTGGGTGAAAGCTGGGAGGAGCTGGAATGTGTGGAGGGGTGATCCTGAATGGAAAGCTTGGAGGTGAGGGCAGGGTGTGCGAGGACAGGCATCCTTGGGGTAGAGGCGTGGGCCACAGTCAGTGAAGAAGGCTGTGTCTGCCCTCAGCCGTGGTCCCTACACAGTCAGCAGGGGCAGTGTAGTCCACACCCCTTGTGATAGCTGTGCTTGCCATGGGGTGGGCCGGCCACCCCGAGGCCCAGACAGGCTTCGGGGTCAGAAAGGACAGGACGTGCTTTGTGAGAAGCCACAATTTGTTTTCCTAACATGAATTCCTGGAGGTGTTGAGGTAGGGGAGTGCAGCCCCAGAACGAAGGGCTGTGGTAGGGTGGGGTATATGGGGAAGGTAAAGTACATGCACGTGTGCACGTGCACATGCGTGCGCGCGCGTGTGTGTGTGTGTGTGTGTGTGTGTCAGAGAGAGAGAGAGAGAAAGATGTTGGGTGGGCAGAATGGGGGCGAGGGACAACCCTAGGGGAAACATGGGAAGGCCTCCCAGAGCTCCTCAGAATTAACTACATTCACTCATTCATTATAAAGAAATACTGAACACCCGCTCTACACAATACACTGCTCTAGACCCTGGGGACATGATGTCCCTGGGTTCTTAGGGAAAGAAGAGTGAGGCAGACAAAAGAAATGTTAGCAAAGCCAGTCTTGAAGACCACAAAAAGGGATGATGTGAGACAGAGAGGGTGTGTGCTTAAAACCAGTGGGAGGCCTCCCATGTGAATGAGGAGGAGTCACTGCTCTGAAAGCTGGGGAAGGACGTTTCAGGCAGAGGGAAGTGAGCACAGGGAATGGACAGAGGCTCCTCTCCAGCTGCACACCTGACCCATCTGAGAGCCCGGACTGCCCCGGCACTCCACTTCCTGAATTCTCCGCTGCCTCTGCCTGGCTGCCTCCCTGTGGCCTTGCTGGAGCTCCATGCCCAGTCCTGGGATGGTCTCTCCTCTTGGCTCCCGCAGGCCCTTGTCTTGCCTGTTGACTTACGTGCCTTCTGCCCTGTCACCACGTGCTCTGTCTAAAACCCAGGTCTGCATACACCCCAGCACAGAGCCCTTCGATGGCTTCCCACTGCCTACAGGACCAAGCACGGCTCCTCAGCATGATGGCCACCGGCCTCTGGGCATCCTTCTGGCCCCATCTCCTGCCTGCTCCCCCGCCCCAAGCCCTGCCCCCAACATTCTTCATTACACCGCCTTCCCCACATAGTGGTCTTTACAACGTATCCACAAATTCCTTGATCCTCCTTTCTTCAAGAGATGGAGTTTATTTCCCCTACTCTTAGGCTAGGCCTGGTGACTCCCTTCTAACAAACAGAACATAACAGAAAAGATGGTAAGTGACTTCCAAGGCTAGGTCATCAAGACCAAATCTTGATGTCCACATGGTGATAAACTCAGGTCTCTTGACAATAGTCATCAAGGAACTGAGGCTTCCTGCCAACAGCCGTGTGGGTGCACCATGGTGGAAGTGGAACCTCCAGCTATAGTCGAGCCTTCAGACAATGCAACCTCAAGATAGACTCCAAGCCAGAATTGCCCAGCCAGCTGCTCCTGAATTCCTGGCCCACAGAAACTAAGAGATAATGAACATTTTCTGTTTGAAGCTACGTTTTGAGGTAATTTCGTAACAGAGCAAGTGATAACAAATACAACCCAAATATGCCAACTGCTCTCTTTGATGCATCTGGGCCTTTGCACATGCTATTCTCCCTGCCTGTGATGTCTCTCACACTGACTTTTCCACCAAACTCCCCATCATTCTTCAGGGTCCAACAGAAATGTCATCTCCTCAGTGAAACATCCCTTAAAACCATCCCCAGTCCCCCACCTTGCTCTGCCTGAACCAGAGTTGGCCCCTGCCCTGTGACCTCACCAAACCCGCATGTAGCTCCAACATGTTTCCTCCTACTCCACGTTTTCTCAGAGGCCTGTTGAGGCCACCCTACCTGACTTTGTGGGCAGCAGAGGGATGGCACCCAGAAAGCTTCAGGAAGGCTCTGTCAACTGGCTGGAGAGCCATCAATTAGAATTTCATTCCAGTGGGATGATTATTTTTTTTTAAGTATTTTGCACCAAATATTTAAATGTAGAAGCCCCCATTTTTTTTCCTCCAAATGGTGGGAGAGCATGAGGACTCATAAATAAGAGACTTCATCTTACTCTGTCCCAACAAATTGGGCAAGGGGTCCAACCTACCTGGATCAGAGCAAGCACTTTGTCCTGTACAATGGTGGGAGGGTTGTTCTTGGGAGAGATAATTTTGACCAGAACACTGTCGATGAAATCTCGGTTGGCCACAAGGATGTGGAAGCGGTGGCCACAGTTCTTCACACATGTCTCCAGCACCTGATGTGGGGAGGGAAGGAGAGGGGTCACCCCAGTGGGAGCTGGAGAAGACACTGGGAACTGAGGAGCACAGCTGAGTTTCCACCACCCGCTCTGTCTTGCTCCTAGATCAGCTTTCTGACACGTCTCCTCCAGAGCCAAACCTGCATGGCACACGCATTCCCACACTCCATTCTCCAGGGATGACAGCAGCCCCTTACTGACTGAAGTCTCCTGTCCCTGCACAATAATCAGGCAATTAGTTGGTAATTGAGGCACCAGTTTTGCATGAGAAGGATGCTAGTGTTTTAATGGGATCAAAATGACTGAGCGGTCCCTGAAAATTAGCATTTTAACTCCTCTCTCTGGGCCTCTGGGTATGAGGCATTAGCCAATGGGACATGGGCTCTGTCACAAGAGGAGGCTGCTATGACAGCTTGAATTGCTTCGTGAGTTACTGGCCCTTATATGTGAGAAAGCAAATGCACACACACATCCCCCACTCAACCCTGCTTCTGCAACCAAAATTGGCAATGACAAAGGATTTTCCACTCTTGACAAATGGTTTATGAACCTCAGCTGCCAGGTGACTTTAATGTCCATGTTTGATTCAGACCCTGCCTGCTTCTCCCTTATCTGGGAAAACAAGTGACACAGGCTTTAGCTGCTCAGAAAAGCCAGCATACTGGTTATGGCCAGATGGTCAGTGAGGGCTCGAATCTCAGCTCTGCCACTTTCTCCCTGAATGGCCCAGGACATATCTTTCTGAGCCTCAGCATCCTCATCTGTAAAGCAGAGATGATGAGCTCTCCTTTGCAAGACAGTTGGAAAGATTAGCAAGAATACATTCAAAGCATAAGCCAGGCGTAGTGGCTCATGCCTGTAATCCCAGCACTTTCAGAGGCCGAGGTGGGCAGATCACCTGAGGTCAGGAGTTCAAGACCAGCCTGGTCACCATGGCGAAGCCCTGCCTCTACTACAAATACAAAAACTACCCAGGCTTGGTGGCACGTGCCTGTAATCCCAGCTACTTGGGAGGTTGAGGCAGGAGAATCGCTTGAACCTGGGAGGCAGAGGTTGCAGTGAGCCGAGATCGTGCCATTGCACTCCAGCTCAGGAAACAGAACAAAACTCTGTCTCAAAAACATACATACATACATACATACATACATACATAAAATAATGCACCTAGCAAAGCATCCTGTATAGGGGAGGTGCTCAATAACTGATGACCATGATTACGTGATTACATGATTACTATTCAGAAGGCTGCTGTACACACAAGGAAGAGGATGGCCTCTTATCCTCCCATAGGACAGGTGTGTAGCCTCTTGGAATTCGGAGGTACTAACTGGGAGGAGCTCTCTGAACTTCCCAGCACTCTGTAAAGTAACCCATAGGATTACCTGGCCCTTTCCATGCCACCAGCCCCCAGTGCCACAGTCTGCTAACTGGGGAATGCCTCCTCAAAACGATGTCACCAGCAACAGGGAACATTTCTGACTACCTCAGTTATTCTCATTTGCTCAGACTAATCCAACCACTGGTTAACTTCCGCAGCCATCCCACAGGGCTGGGTCCAAGCAATTGGGCTTTACCTGGACAAATCACAGCTGTAAAGAAAGGTCCATAACTGGAACACTGACTGAATGCGACTATATTCCAGGCACTATGAGAGATCCTTCCATAACATATGGAATGTTATCCAGTTCTCACAACTAATTACTTCTCCTTAAGTGGACCTTAATATCCCATGTTTTAGAGTTAAGTGGTTTAGAAAGATGAAGACATTGATCTAGGTACAAATTGTCAGTCAGTGCCAGAAGGAGCACAGGAACTGTGATCAGCCTTCTCTGGAGCCCCAGTCTCCTTACCCACCTTGAGGCCACAGGGCCATCCCTCCCTCACAGCTTTCCTCCAAGCAGCCACATCAGCTGAGAGTGCCTCAGATGACAAACAACACGTGTTACCTTTACTGTTCCCTCATTTGGTCCTTGAAATAACCCTGTAAGGTGGGAACCATCCCATTTTAGAGATGAGGAAGCGGAGGATCAGAGGTACCATGTAACTTAACCTAGGAGGCCAAAGCTGGGAATCCCATGCCAGGCAGCTCGCAGCCAGCCAGAATCGTTCCTTGCCTCGCTGCTGGCTGCACCTTAGGAGGCCCCGGGTTCCTGTGGGCTTGCCAAGGAAGACTCTGGAGGTTGGCACCCTCAGGGCCTCTGAGCAACCATAGGTTTTACTGAGCCAAGGAGGCATTTTCCTTTCTGAGTCTCTGCTTGTGCCTGATTCTGGTAACCATGAGGTAACTGGCATTCACTCTCTCGCAGTGATCCATGGGGGCACTGAGATGAACCAGAGGGGTTCGTTCTGCCCTCAAGAAGGCACCCTTCTCTCTAGGATTCTCTAAAACCTTCCTCCCAACTCAGGCAGTGGGGTGTTGGGGTCAAGGCAGATGGCAAGAAGTATGCTTTATTTTGTGAGAAGCAGGTGGGAAAGGCGAGGCTGCAGTTATGAGTAGGAAAGAGAATTGGAAAAAGAGGCATAGGTCTGAGGAGCGGGGCAGCCTGGGGCTCCACTCCACTCTCAGAGCAGCAGTGGGCAGGAACCACTGCCTGCCTTTAGGGAAATACATTCTTAGTTTCTCCTGCACAGCAGTCCTCAAGGTCAGTGTGTTCCAGCCTGGCCTTGGAAGTGTGCTGGACAGAGATGCACGTGTCACAGAGCAGCCCCAAAGCCTATCTGAGCAGGAGATATAGGAGGTCCTCCCTGGGCTGGCAAGAGCCACTTTAGGCCACCCTGTCAAATAGGACCCTGGCAGATTTGTCCCTATGGGTTGAAAGGCATGAAACATACAGTGGTAATTTTCCAGAATGAAGCCAAAAGCCATGGAGAAAGCAAAAGGGGCCTCTAAGCAATCAGAAATGATGTTTAAGTCCACAAACGAAGACACAAGCAGAGAGCCCCTCAGGGCTTCTTACTAACTTATTTTGGGTAAATATTAACAATCTTGGTGGGTACAGATATGAAGTCAGGAAAGGGCCACAAGAAACAGGAGGACCGAAAGACACTAACAGAGTAAGTGAAGCCCTAACAGCAGACGTGAGACCATGCAAAGTGCACTAGGATGGGGCCTCGGACGGCAGCCCTGCACATTTCACAGGCCTCCCAAAGGCATGGCTGGGTTTGTAGTGAAGCCCTAACCCACAGGAAAGGTCAAAGCGTCAAAGAGTGTCCATCATGCCCTGCTAGAGGAAGGCAAGTAAATGCAGAGTTCCCTTTAGAAAAATTTTCATTCAACACGATTACCATGAAGTTGGGTGTGTAAATGGAGAAGTTTTAGATAGCAGTAAAATGCCCTGACATATCAGAGCTAATTCCCTGGTGATATGAGTTATTGAAAGCCATTCGTTTTGGGCATCACTCCTGGTTTAGTGAATGCTGCGGCTCAAATTCTGAGAAAAAAAATAAATAAAAGCTTTAATTCCCTATTTCTCAACCAGTCTTTTCTCCTTTATTATTCAAATCCCAATTCCCTGGCAATACTCTCTTAATAAGTTTTGGGGTTTCGCTTGGGCAAAAAATCCAAACAGGTTCTCTGCTTTAAAAGGAAACATAGTTGTTTTGGAAAAATAACCTACTATTTCAAAGCCCCAGAGAAGTCGACCTGGTGACCTGTCACAGTTTCTATTTTAAGAACTCACTGTGGCCCAGATTTTGCCACATCTGAAAAACTGTTAGTTCTCAAGACAGAAATAACACCTGAAGTCGTCTTTAAATTCTCTGACAGCTTTGGTAAGGGCAAAAATCTGGTCTGTTTCTTTCTGAAAAAAATCACTTGGCTGACTTTTTCAAGAGTCTTTGTAGCTATTTTCAGTTTTTACCCCATGCGAAAGACCACTTTATGATGGCAATCCATAGCTCAGTACCTCACTAGCTGTGAAGGCTGAGTAAAACTCCAGACCTCTCTGAGCCTCAGTTTCCTCATCTGTATGAGGGGGATAGTGAAATCTCTTTTGAATGGTGGTTGTAAACATCTTCATTAATGTCCAAAAAGCTCAGCACAGACCCAGGCAGGGGCAGGGGCAGGTATTCAATAGGTGGAACTTTTTTTTTTTTAAAGACATAGGCTCGGCTGGGCGCGGTGGCTCAAGCCTGTAATCCCAGCACTTTGGGAGGCCGAGACGGGCGGATCACGAGGTCAGGAGATCGAGACCATCCTGGCTAACATGGTGAAACCCCGTCTCTACTAAAAAATACAAAAAACTAGCTGGGTGAGGTGGCAGGCACCTGTAGTCCCAGCTACTCAGGAGGCTGAGGCAGGAGAATGGCGTAAACCCGGGAGGCAGAGCTTGCAGTAAACTGAGATCCGGCCACTGCACTCCAGCCTGGGCGACAGAGCAAGACTCCGTCTCAAAAAAAAAAAAAAAAAAAAGAAAGACATAGGCTCACTCTGTTGCCCAAGCTGGAGTGCAGTGGTGCAATGTCAGCTCACTGCAACCTCCACCTCCTGAGTTCAAGCGATTCTCCTGTCTCAGACTCCCGAGTAGGTGGGACTACAGGCATGCACCACCATGCCTGGCTAATTTTTGTAGTTTTAGTAGAGACGGAGTTTCACTATGTTGGCCAGGCTGGTCTTGAACTCCTGACCTTGTGATCGTCCTGCTTCGGCCTCCCAAAGTGCTGGGATTACAGGCATGAGCCACCGCGCCTGGCCAACATTTTTATAAAGAGGAAACTGATATCTAGAGAAGGAGTTGGTCTCAGTCTCCGAGCAGGCTGGTGGCAGAAAAGGGACCCACTCAAAATCTTTAGCTCCTCTGCTCTGGCCTTCTGTACCTGACAGCACTGCACATACCTTATCTTCTGCTGGTATACATTTACCAAACTGAAGCTCACTACTCCCTGTTTCAGAGGACAGGAAAACCCAAAGGCAATACCAGAAGGCTTTGCTGGACTCCGGTGGTCCAGGCACCAAGCCATTCAGAGGTTGTGCTGAGTGGGCAGAGGGAAGGCCCTGTGAGGGGGGCAAGGCCAGGAGCAAGGAGTTCCCCAGATGACTTCCCTCCCCAAGGAGAATAGCACTCACTGTTAATGCCAGCATCACCTCTCTGTAGTTCCGATTCCCATTGAGCCGCTTCTTCAGGGCTCGAATGGCATCCTTTGGCCTGGAAAAAAGAACAGACATATAAAGATACTTACAATCTCACTTGAGGACACGATCCTACAGATATGTGAACTAGCATATATGCAAGACTATTCGCCGGCTGCAGCATGTTTGTAAATGTAAAATACTGGGAACAAACTGAATGTCCGTCAATACACAACAGGTTAAATTAAACCATTGACACAATGGAATACTATGCAGCTGCAAAAAAAGAATAAAGAAACTCATGTACCAATATGGACCAAACTCAAAGACATGTGCATAAAGTTCTTTGCATAACAGTGTACAAAGCTTGCTATTAGTTGAGTTATAGAAGGAAAGCAAACGTACATAGCACACATGTCAGCGTAAGGAAGAGACTCTCTAGAAGGAGCTATAACAATCTGGTAACTGTGGCTGCCCCTAAGGAAAGGAACAAAAGGGGGAGGGAGGTTTTTCCCTGGACTGCCTTTTTGTGGACCTTTTGAATTCCGTATCACATGCAAGTATTACTATTCAAAACCATAACTAACCCACTGGTGTGTGGGTACATAGAAGAGAGTTTTTCCAGAGAAACCATAAGAGAGATAGAGAGAGTGCCAGGTACTTATGAGCCCTGGATGCCCGGCTCTTCCTGAATTCCATGGAACTCCTTTTCCCAGAGAAAGTTTAAGTGAGTCTCCTTAAAACCCAACAAGTTTGGCCCAGCGCGGTGGCTCAAGCCTGTAATCCCAGCACTTTGGGAGGCCGAGATGGGCGGATCACGAGGTCAGGAGATCGACACCATCCTGGCTAACACGGTGAAACGCCGTCTCTACTAAAACATACAAAAAACTAGCCGGGCGAGGTGGCAGGTGCCTATAGTCCCAGCTACGTGGGAGGCTGAGGCAGGAGAATCACTTGAACCTGGGAGACGGAGGCTGCAGTGAGCTGAGATCATGCCATTGTACACCAGCCTGGTGATAAGAGCAAAACTCCATCTCCAGAAAAATAAAAAAGAGAAAGTGTGCCCAGCGCTGTGGCTCATTCCTGTAATCCCAGCACTTTGGGAGGCCGAGGTGGGTAGATCACTTGAGGTCAGTAGTTCAAGACCAGCCTGGCCAACATGGTGAAACTCTGCCTCTACTAAAAAATACAAAAATTAGCTGGGTGTGGTGGCAGCTGCCTGTAATCCCAGCTACTTGGGAGGCTGAGGCAGGAGAATGGCGTGAACCTCGGAGGCGGAGCTTGCAGTGAGCTGAGATCCGGCCACTGCACTCTAGCCTGGGTGACAAAGCAAGACCCCATCTCAAAAAAAACAAAACAAAAGAAAAAAAACACCCAACAAGTTTTGTGTTTTTAGGTGACAGATCTGAGGTGGATTCCCAGAGAAAATCTTGTAGAATTATAGATGGTACTCAGTTCACAAATGGGCCATGTCCAAAAGTTGGAGTGGAGTTGTTTGGAAGTTGGAGTGAGTTCTTCCTTAATTATTGTTATACCTTAGAGTTAGGATTCCCAGCCAGCCCTCTAAGTACACGTATTACGTGTAGGTCTTGTGTCTAACATGTAATTTAATTTATTCTAACTCAGGATTCAACAAAGCTGTGGGCCTAGGAGCTGCCCCTGGCACAAAGCCCCTGTGCAGACCCATTACCCTATGCTCTGAGGAGCCCCTAGTCTGGCTGTGGGCCACCAGCCTGGCCAACATGGTGAAACTCTGCCTCTACTAAAAAATACAAAAATTAGCTGGGTGTGGTGGCAGCTGCCTGTAATCCCAGCTACTTGGGAGGCTGAGGCAGGAGAATCACTTGAACCTGGGAGACGGAGGCTGCAGTGAGCTGAGATCATGCCATTGTACACCAGCCTGGTGATAAGAGCAAAACTCCATCTCCAGAAAAATAAAAAAGAGAAAGTGTGCCCAGCGCTGTGGCTCATTCCTGTAATCCCAGCACTTTGGGAGGCCGAGGTGGGTAGATCACTTGAGGTCAGTAGTTCAAGACCAGCCTGGCCAACATGGTGAAACCCTATCTCTACTAAAAATACAAAAAAATTAGCTGGGTATGGTGGTGTGTGCCTGTAGTCCCAGCTATTTTGGAGGCTGAGGCAAGAGAATCACTTGAACCTGAGAGGTGGAGGTAGCAGTGAGCCAAGATCATGCCACTGCACTCCAGCCTGGGTGACAGAGTGAGACTCCATCTCAAAAAGAAAAAAAAAAAGAAAGAAAGTGAAAGGAGCAAGGCTTCTGAAAGAAAATTTTAAAACACCCTGAATCACCTGTTTCCCATTCCCAGCTTGACATATGGCTGCCCTGCAGGAATTCGTGGCCCCTGGGTCAAAGGGCTGATGAGACAGACACAAGGCTCCACGGGGACTGGGCCCAAGGCCAACTATGTCTGTAGTATGGCTGCCATTTCCAAAAGGGGATGCTGATTTCTGCAAATACGGGACTTAACCGGCTCTCTGCTTTGAGGGCTGTTTGTGGCCTGAGAGCTGAAATTCCGTGGCTACTGGCCAAGAGCATGGACTGATATCCTCTCTCCAAGGCTCTGCCAAACCACCGCTGTCCCTGACCCACAGCTGCCACAACCCTCAGTCCTATCTCTCTTCTGTCCTCTTGAACTTTCATGGAACAGGAAAATAGGAAGAGCGCCTCAGGGCTGCAATCACTTCTGGCTGGCCGAGGACCAGTACACTCAGGGCTCTCCTGGTGTGGGGGCCACAGGGTGGGAAATCAGACAGTCAGCAGGTTCCTGGATGAGGTTTAAAATGAAAATTCATCCACAGGCTGTGGGAAGTACTGGCTGAGAGTAATGGGTGAGCACAAAAGCAAGTATTTATCTCTCTCCCCGGGGGAGAAGCTTCAGAGAGGAGGATCAAAGTCATGTCAAAGGAATCACAAAGTTTCAAGAAGCTGCAGCAGATTAGATAGTGTGGAGTTGGAAACCAGGAGAAGAGACAGAAGCGTGTGTCAAGAGCCAAGAGGGAGCAGAAAGAAAGGATCAGGAAGAATCAGTGGCCTGTGTTGAGAAGGCACCAAGCCCTAGCAGCTTTTCCTAGCAGGCTCCTCATGCAGTGCTCACAGCCTTGTGATCTGGCCTCTGGGCCATGATCAGGCTCCTCAAAGTCTCCCTGGACCCTGGACTTACAAGAACTCTTCCCTGATCCCCAAACAAGCCTCCTGTCATCCCTCCAGCCACAGCCTTTATATTGTCCTTCAGCTTCAGTACTACTCTCTGGAAAAGCTTTCTCCTCATCACCCCCAAGGAGGACACGGCTACCCCTCTGCCATCACCCGAAACACCCCCTCCCCATTATTATCTTGCTCTATTGTATGTCTTCAGTTTCTCCTCTGTGCCCTCTCCAGCTTAGAAGGTAGAACACAGACAAAGATTCTATGAGCTGAGGAGGGTCCAGAGATGGCCATGAAAACGACCCAGGTCAGGGGGTCCTCATGAGAGGGGCACATCCGAGTCACCTGGAGTGCAATTCCCAAATCCACAAGCTGTGCCTTCATTGGGTAGATCTGGGGTGAGGCCTGGAAAACAGAGTCTAAAACAGTCCCAGCTGGGTGCTGCGGCTCACGCCTGTAATCCCAGCACTTTGGGAGGCCAAGGCAGGCGGATTACCTGAGGTCAGGAGTTCAAGACCAGCCTGGCCAACATGGTGAAACCCTGTCTCTACTAAAAATACAAAATTAGCTGGGCGTGGTGGTGCATACCTGTAATCCCAGCTACTCAGGAGACTGAGGCAGGAGAATTGCTTAAGTCTGGGAGGCAGTGGCTGTGGTGAGCTGAGATCGCACCATTGCACTCCAGCCTGGGCAACAAGAGCAAAACTCCACCTCAAAAATAAATAAATAAAAAGAGTCCTAGGTAGCTTATTCAGCCAGCCACTCCTGGTTAATGCCTGAAGGACTGTCATACAAGGCCTTAGGCATCAGCATTCCTTAGGCCGATGGTGACTTCAGCTCTGGACATTAGGGAAAGCCCAGGGAGAGGCCTTTGGGGCAGTTTACCAATCTGCACCCACCAGGACCACAGCCTCCCATTGGTAAAGCATTGTATAAATATAAGAAGTACAGGCAGCACTTCAGTGGCTGTAGCCAGGTGACCCTGTGCTTGCATCCTGCATGTGCCCTTCCAAGTTGTGCTGCAAGGCCTTTGGCAAGTGACCAAACTACTCAGCCTCAGTTTCCTTAACACTGAAACAGGCTGTCACTACCATATAGAACTGTTGGGGGTAGGGGTCGCTGCTTGGGATGAGGCACTGCAGGGCTGGACACAGGGCCTGGCACATGGCAAGTGCTCAGAGATGGCAGAGAGGGTAAGGGCAGTGAATCCACAGAGATCATCACCAAGACTGGGCAGATAACTGACACCCAAATGAAAGTGATGACAAAAGTCAAGGGCAATGGAAATCTTTAAAGGGAAATAGTAAATCCATATATAAAGTATGGATATGAAGATACAGTTATGTAGCCAGATACTTCATGTATATTTAGTCCTTTAATTCTCATAACAACCCTATGAGATAGGTATTATTGGCAACCCCATTTTATAAATGAGGAAATGGGACACAGACACAGGGAGATGAAGTAACTCACACAGGATCGCACAATAAGCGAGTGGTGACCTAGGACTGCTCCAGGCTGGGGTGTCCACCTTCCTCCCCTTTATCCACCTGCCTCATCTGGCTGATACCCTGGCACTCTGTAAGACTCCAGTCTGGTGTCACTTCCTCCAAGAAGGCTTTGCTGCCAAAAGTCCCAAGGCTGACCATTGCCACTGCACTAGTGTCCATAGCTATACATAGCTTTTCTCTCTCTCCCTGCCCCCCACCCAGCACTTGTTATGCCGTGTTATGCTTATGTTTATATGCCTGCATTCCTCATCAGACTGTGAGTGCCTTAGAGACTTTGTTCATTTATTCACTTATTTAACAAATATTTATTAACAGCTAATCAAATGCATTGTGCTAGGTGCTAGGGACAAAATGGTGAGTAAAACAGATGGAAATCCTGTCTTCATGGAGCTCACAGCCTTGTGGGGGTTACAGGGCAAGACAGACACTAACAACCGTCCCACAGATCTATAAGTTTAAACTGTGATGAGCATCAGTACAACACAGGTTATGAACTCATATAACAGAGGACTTGTCCAAATCAGGAGGGAAGGGGGTTAGGGAAATGAGATTCAAACTGAGAGATTCAGTGAATGACGGGCTCTACTTAGTGAGAGAGATGACGAGAACAGAAGGGACGGCAGGTCAGAGGCCCTTCAGGGAGGGCGCAAAGGGGTGGGTGGGGCGCCCTACTGTCAGTTCAACTTGTGGGAGTTTCTTCCACTTAGGAAGATATTTTTTTTTTTTTTAAGATATGGGGTCTCACCACATTTCCTAGGCTGGTCTCAAACATCTGGGCTCAAGCAATCCTCCCGCCTCAACCTCCTGAATAGCTGGGACTACAGGCATGAGCCACTGCACCTGGCTAGGAAGAGATTTTGGAACACCTCACAGCAGAAGCAAGGAGAAAACATTCTCAGGAATCACTGAGGTGCTCTCAGTCAAAAAGGTAGCAACAGGAGATTTAGCCACTTGAAGAGGAAGATGTGTGTGACCAACCTTCTGGGAACTGAGGATTTGAAAAAGAAGGCATGGCCCCTTCAGAATGAGGAAGCTCCTGGGGTTCCTGGGCTTCCTGCTCTCAAGCCATAGAGATATTTGAGCAATTCACTGGAAGATAAGAGTTGCCAACGTATTTGTATATTGCTCAAATCTGTAGAGAATTTCAAGCTGCGCCCAGGAATGTGGAAAATTCAAGGAGCTGAAAGATCAGCGGGGTTGAAGAGCTCAAAGCGGAGCTGCCGAGGGGTCTGGGGCTCCTCAGGAGGGTACCAGTTAGGGTTTTTACCCTAAGTGTCTGTGAAGGCCCTGAAGGCTTGTTAGCAAGGGATCAACTTGCTGGTTCAGCAGCAGGAAGGGACAGGAGGGAAGGGGCCGAAGCAGAGGTCCACCTCTAGGGTAAAGCGCAGACACCAGAGAATGTGGCACCTGACCCTGACTACCTTTCCAGCTGCATTCCAGACACTCCCGCTCCCCCAACATCACCCTGTCTACCCTAGACCACTTGTATCCCTTGACACACTGGCCCTTTTGACGTCACCCTTGGCTACGGGACACATTTCTCCTGCCATCCTGGAAGACAGTCCCTCCACGAGGCATTTGTACCCACCTTTCCCTCTGGGACCATGGTATCAGGGACAGGCCTTGGCCACAGCCCTTCCCAGTCCCTCCAGGTGAGCCTTCAAGGGCAGGCTGGAACGTTCACCTTGGCATCCTGCAGCTGCTATACCTCCGCCGCTGGGGGTCAGTAAACATGGCCGGATGACTGGACAAACAAGTGAATGAGTGGTGTGTGAGGAGGACGTGAGGAAGGTAGCCACTCTGAGCCCGGTGATGATGGCATTAGAGATGTGTAGTCCCTAACAACTATTTGTGAGTCACATCTGTGTGCCAGGTACCAAGCTGATCACCTATATTTAGCTGGTGAAAATATGCCACCTTTCACCAAAGACTCCCACGTTTTCATCCACTGCAGGCCACTGCCCCCAACTCAAGTTCCCTGTACAGTTCCCTGTCACATCTTCCAGGAGCTTGGCTGGCAGCACAGATCTACTCCTGATCTCTGCTCCCCAGCCTGTTCCACCTCAGGAAACAGCAGCTCCATCCCATGGCTGTTCAGGCCCTGAGCCTTGCAATTTCCCTTGACTCTTCATTCCTTTCCCATGTCTGCCAATTTCATTGGTTCTACCTTCTAACACATTCAGAATCCCATTACTTCTAACCATCATCTCACACCAGTATTACTGTGATAACCTCCTCACTGGGTTTTCTTTCTTCTTTTCTTTTTCTTTTTAGAGACAGAGTCTTACTCTGTCCCCCAGACTAGAATGCAGTGACACCATCCTAGTTCATCACAGCCTTGAACTCCTAGGTGTAAGCAATCTTCCTGCCTCAGCCTCGTACAGTGCTGGGATTACAGGTGCATGCCACTATGCCAGGCTGTCGCTGGGTTTTCTGCATCTGTCCTTGGTCTGCCCCCAGCCAGACCACTCTAAACAAATAGATTGACCTCTTTCCAACAAGAGTGGGACCATACCCCTTCTCTGCTTGAATCTCCAAAAAGGTTGAAGCCAGAGTCGCTCTGGTTCTACATGGCCCTGCATTATCTGGATCCCCAATATGTCACTAACTTCTTCTCCAGGTACCCTCTTCTTTGACCACTCCACTCCGGGCCCATTAGCCACCTTGCTATTTCTCAAACACATCAGACACCCCCTGTCCCAGGACTTCTGGGTTTGCTGTTCCATGAGCCTTGACAGTTCTTCCCTTGTATAATCCTCACCCCCTACACCCTCATCTCCTTTAAGTCTTTGTTCAATATCACCTTCTAAATGAGACTTTTCTGTTGTTTTGTCTTTTCTTTTTGAGACAGGGTTTTTCTCTGTCACCAAAACTGGAGTGCAGTGGCATGCTCATGGCTCACTGCAGCCTCGACCTCCTGGGCTCAAGTGATCCTCCCACCTCAGCCTCCCAAGTAGCTGGGACTACAGGTATGCACCACCAGGCCTGGCTAACTTTTGTATTTTTTGTAAATACAAGATTCAACTGTGTTCCCCAGGCTCGTCTCGAATTCCTAGGCTCAAGCGACTAGCCCACCTTGGCCTCCCAAAGTGCTAGGATTACAGATGTGAGCCACCCAACCCAGTCAAGACTTTTCTTGATCACTCTATTTAAAATTGCTAATTCCTAGCCACCTCTCTCCCCATCTCCCTTCCACAGTCTTGTCCTCATCTGACCAGGTTATATGTTTAATTATCTTGTTTATGGCCTGCCTCCCTACTACTCTAGAATGGTAGCTCCCCAAGGGGAAGGAATCTATCTTGTTCACTGCTGTGTCCTCAGTATTTACAATAGGCCTGGCACAAGGTAGTCATTTGAGAAATATTTGCTGCATGAAAACAGGACCAAGCTTGAGAGGCTGGTCCCCAGTTCACACATGGCAAGGCTAGAGTGACAGTGCTGCGATGCCAGCCCAGGGATGCCTGAGTCCCAACTGCTCTCCTTGCCACTCTGAAAATGGTTTAAGAGGGCATGGCTACAGTAAAGTAAGCGTTAGTGGTATGGACAGAGGGCTAAATACAGACCAATTTGGAGGAAGTACAAATTGAGTGCAGCTATAAAACAAAAGAAGAGGATACAGGAAATAACAACAGGAACGGATCCAGCAGTGCAGGAATGCAGGAGGGGCAACGTGGCCTAAGTCCACTCATGCCGCTTTCCCACTCCCGGCTGTGTCTGCTCCATGCCCTGGACCTCCCTCCATGGACACTGTGGTGCTCTCTGACTCCCGGCAAACCAGGGCAGAGATAGGCAGTGAAGGAGAGGCAGAGGCCAGGAAGGAGGGGAGGGAAGAGGTGACACTTGGGCTGCAGAGACTAATGGCCACTGGGAACCAAGTAATCAAGCAGCTTCATTTCTACTTGTGATTAAAAGCAGGTGATTAAAAGAGGTGTCTCTGTTCTACCTCCAGCACTGCCACTGGGCAAGTGGGGGAGGGATGAAGACAAAAAGGACAGATAATTCAGAGTGTCAGCTTATTCAATGCCAAACCAAACAGACTAGAACACAAAACAAAAACTAAAATCTGCCACCCTCAGGCCCTGACAAGCTTTGAGTGGCCCCTAAAAGCTGAGAGAGGCTTCCCAGGAGAGGGGGGCACACGTACCCTTCCTCCGTCTCATTGATGATGTCACAGATCTCCATATTCAATGTCCAATCCTCACTTTGCAGGGAGCCATCTGTTGCCTTTTCTGTGAAATCAGAGAGAAAATGGGTTTACATTTCTCCTGGAATAAGTGGGCCTTGGCAGGAAATGGGAAGAGACCAGAACCACCACATTCTCATCCCAAGCAGATGGGCTGAGCCAACAGAGCCATTCTAGGGGTGCTATTATCACAAGAGAACACCCGGGAAAGGTCCTGGCCTGAAGGCTGGAGTTTATAACTAGGTTCTTCATTCACCAAACTCTAGACTGAAAAGCTTATGACAGGCCTAAGCCATCAAAAATCACCCCAAACATGAGGATATTAGGTTTATGAACCCACAGAGTCTGGAGCCAAACTACCTACCAAACTAGGTTCAAATACAGGCTCTACTGCTTACTAGTTGTGTGGTCTTGAGTAAGTTACTTAACTTCTAGGTGCCAAAGCTAGTGAAAACAACAGTACTTACCTGATATATGTTATGAAAATTAAATGGGTTGATATACATGAAACACTTAGAACAGAGCCTGGCACACAGTGCTATACAGGTATTTGCTATTGGGATTATTAAAAATCAATTGCTGTAGTTAAAAACTACATTTCAGATAAGGGGGAGAAAGAAAGGACCATCAGTTATTAAGCCACTGTAGGCATGGTGTTGGGTGCTTCATGTACATTATTTTATCTCATCCACAAAATGACTTTCTGACCATTCAGTGAGGAAAGGACAGTATTTTCAACAAATGGTGCTGTGAAAATTGGATTGCCACATGCAAAAGAATGAACTTGGACCCTTTATCTTATAACATATACAAAAATTTACTCCAAATGGATCAAAGACATAAATGTAAGAGCTCAAACTAAAAAACGCCTAAAAGAAAACATAGTGAAAAAGCTTCGTGACACTAGATTCGGCAATCATCTCACGGATATGACACCAAAAGCAGAGGCAACAAAAGAAACATTTTGAACTACATCAAAATAAAAACTTCTAGGCATCAAAGGACACAACAGAGTGAAAAGGCAACCTGCAAAGGAAGAAAATATTTGCAAAATTATATATATGATAAGGGGTTAATATCCAGAAGATGTAAGTAACTCCTATAACTTAACAACAAAAAACCCCAAACTATGCAATTAAAAAATGGGAAAGGACTTGAATGATATTTCTCTAAAGAAGATATACCAATGGCTAACAGGTATATGAAAAGAGGTTCAACATCACGAAGCATTAGGGAAGTGCAAGTCAAAACCACAATGAAACATCACCTCACACCCATTAGGATGGCTCCTATCGAAAAAGTAGAAAATAACAAGTGTTGGCAAGGATATAGACAAATTGGAACCCTTTTACACTTTTGATGGGAATGTAAAATGGTACAGCTGCTATGGAAAACAGGATGGTAGTTAAAACATAGAATTACCCAGCAAGGAACAGTGGCTCATGCCTGTAATCCCAGCACTTTGGGAGACCGAGACGGATGGATGGATCACCAGGTCAGAAGATTGAGACCATCCTGGCTAACATGGTGAAACCTAGTCTCTACTAAAAAAAGTATAAAAAGTTAGCCGGGCTTGGTGGCGGGCACCTGTAGTCCCAGCTACTCAGGAGGCTGAGGCAGGAGAATGGCATGAACCTGAGAGGCGGAGCTTGCAGTGAGCCGAGATCGCACCACTGCACTCCAGCCTGGGCGACAGAGCGAGACTCCATCTCAAAAACAAAACAAACAAACAAACAAAACACAGAATTACCCTATGATCTAGCAATTTCACTTCTGAGTATATACCCAAAAGAACTGAAAGCAGGGCCTTGAGGAGATATTTGCAGAGTCATGTTCATAGCAGCAATAGTCACAACAGTCAAAAGATTTGTAAACAGCCTGTGTCCATCAGCTAATGAATGGATAACCCAAATGGATATACATAAAATGGAACATTATTCAGCCTTAAAAAAGGAAGGAAATCCTATTGCATGCACAATATGGCTGAACCTTGAAGGCCTTGTGCTAAGTGAAATAAGCCATTCACCAAGACAAACACAAGATGATTCCACTTACATTAGGTACCTAAAATAGTCAAATTTAAAGACAGAAAGCAGAATGGTGGTTGCCAGAGGCCGTTGGGGGGTGCGGGGGAATGGGGAGTTATTGTTTAATGAACACAGAATTTCAGTTTGGGGAAAATGAAAGAGTTCTGGACATGGGTGTGGATGGTTGCACACAATGTGAACATACCTAATGCCACTGAACTGTACACTTTAAAATGGTTAAAATGGGCCAGGCAAGACGGCTCACACCTGTAATCTCAGAACTTTGGGAGGCTGAGGCAGGAGGGTTACTTGAATCCAGGGTTTGAGAACAGCCTGGGCAACACAGCAAGACATTGTTTCTACGAAAAATTTAAAAATTAGCTGGGTATACCGGCTTGTACCTGTGGTCCTAACTACTAATGAGGCTGAGGCAGGAAGATTGCTTAAGTCCAGGAGTTTGAGGCTGCAGTGAGATATGACTGAGCCACTGCATTCCAGCCTGGGTGACAGAGTAAGACCCTGTCTCTTAAAAAACTTCTTGTTTAATGGTTAAAATGACAAATTTAATGTTACATATATTTTAAAAACCACCACCAAAAAAGACAAAAATTACACACAGGTCAATGGACTGTTGGGTAAGGGAGTAGCAGGGTGGGGATCAGAGATCATTTGGGTCTGCAGTCTCCTTTGACAGGAAACCTGGGGCCTGCAGAAGCAAAGGGAAAGGTCCCGGAGCTCAGGATCCTCAGTGGTAGAGCCAGGACCAGAGCCAGGGTCACTTGACTCCCTTCCCCCTCTGGGCTGTGAGCTCCAGGAGGGCAGGGACTAGGTCTGTCTTGCCTTCCACTGGGTCCCCAGTGCCTAGCACTTGGCAGCAGTGCAATGCATTTACATCAGATGAATGACCGCATTAGCATCCCTTCCTCTACTCTGTGGATTTCAGCCCTGGCTGCACATGAGAACCACCTGGGGAGCTTCTAGAGTGCACCAATACCTGAGCCTCATGCCCCAGAGGTTCTACTTTGAATGGTATGGGGTGGGATTCAGGGATGATGATGATGACGACGACTATTATTATTATTTGAGACAGAATCTCGCTCCATCTCGCAGGCTGGAGTGCAGTGGCATGATCTCAGCTCACTGCAATGTTTGCCTCCTGGGTTCAAGCAATTCTCCTGTCTCAGCCTCCTCAGTAGCTGGGATTACAGGCATGTGCCACCATGCTTCACTAATTTTTGTATTTTTAGTAGAGATGGGTTTTGGCATGTTGGCCAGACTGGTCTCGAACTCCCGATCTCAGGTGATCCACCAGCCTCAGTCTCCCAAAGTGCTGGGATTACAGGCTCGAGCCACCGTGCCCAGCCCCCAACACTCTTGATGGCTGGGGAGGTAGATCATTTGGCTGTTTTCTCCTCCATTCTCACCGAAAGGATGTTGCTGAATGCAAAATGCTAAAACCAGTCCTCTTTTGCCTTCTGGTGTTGGCTGCTTCTGAAGTCACTATATTTAACATCAAAGTGCAGAAAGCGGCAGCCAAAAAGCCAAGCCGCTGGATTGCGAGGCTCCTCCAAACAGGGCTGCCTTGGGTTTCAGAGAGCATGCGAGGGTGGGTGGGCAGAAAAACCATGCTCAGAGCCAGCACTATCACTGCTGTCAGCGTCAAGGCTTCAGGGCATCCTGGCCTGGGTCCTACCCCAGGCGAGAGAAAATGCCATGGCAACGGCATCAGGATGCTATGCTGCTCTCGCACTGAAGATTTAATGGGAGCTGTATCTGATTACCCGAGCTCAGGCCTGCCCTGCCCTGTCCAGTCCAGCCCAGCCTGGCCCGCCCTACCCAGCCTCTTTCCCAGCCCAGTCCTTGGCCATTAGCATATCACCAGAGAGGTCAGCACTTCACAATTATCCGTCCAGAGGGCTGGCTGGTGGGAACGACTTGCCCCACTGCTCCCTAGAGCACTCTGTTTCTGCGGTTGCACCAGGTTTTATTTTAGGTTTTGACGATTTAGGTGACAAAATAAATGAGACTGAACTTTGCTTTCCTCTGGCCTGGGGACAGGACTGAGTGAGGGAGCCCACATTGAGTGGCCTTAGTTCCAGAGGCAATCAGATCCAACTTTGCTCTTGATTAGCTGGAAATTATTTTATGAAGAGAAAAATCAGAACTGATTTGAGCTCCTCTGTCAGCCTTACTTCCCTCATCTGTTTCAGTAGAGCTAAATACCCATGGTTGTGTTTGTGTGGCATTTTCTGCAAAATGAAAAGAAGCATTCTTTTTGGGTTGGTTCTTTATAATCAAAATGAGTATATATCTTTCAGCTTGAAAACTCGCATCCCAGTAATTGAATAGAATGCGCTGACCCTGAGGATAAGTTATCATGCCTTTGAACCCTTCCCCAGTATCATAAGAGGAAAGGAGAGGGTGAATATAAGGTTAATGGATTCTGCTGCTAAACCGAACTTGGAAATGAGGTTTCATTGATTTAATATTTCCTCTATTAAGCCTCCCAAGACTGTATCCCTTGTGGCCCTACCAAAGTGCAATCTCCCTACTTTCTTCTCCATGAGAGTCTGTGCCACAGCTTGAGTTCTGTGAAGGGGAGAGACGACTACCCCCTGGCCAGATGTCCTCTCCCATTCCTGGCTCAAAAGAGCAGCAAGCCCAGGCCTGCAGGCAGAGCTGCTTCCATCAGGGTAAGTCTCCTCCTGAGGAGGCTGCTGGATTTATGGCTGCAGACATGCCCCTACTGTGTGTGACCCAGGTGGTGAGTCATTCTTCTGGGAGTGGACACCTTGAAGAGGAGGGGTGTTCAGAGACAGCTGCAGGAAGAGCAGGGGCAGGAGGCAGGCACCATTTCACCGCTGCAGGCTCCCAGCACACCTGGGGCTCATTCTGCCTCTGGATAAGCCATAGGGTGACAGAGGACACTGCTGTCTCAGTGGCTACATTGTGTCCTCCCCCTTAACCTTCCTGGAGCCTCTGCCCTCAGTTTTTTCTTCTCTAGACTAAACGGATGGTG